TGACCGTTCCAGGAGAGGAAGCGCGACACCTATACAAAATGTCCACCCCCCACCCCCGGTGGATTTGGGACCAGGTAGATGTCCCTTTAGGCGTAAATCCACCTGCTGGAGGGATGTCCAGCTGGTTCGAAGTATACGAAGGTGAATGACCAAGTGGATTTCCATCAGGTGGGGCATCCACCTGGTTCCAAATCAACCTCCTATTCGCCTTGCCGTTCAGCCCTGGTGGATGCAAGAGGACGTTTTGTGAGAAGTCTGATGATTTCTGGTTCCTTAGCCCCTGAAATTCAGGAGATACGTGAGAGCAAACGCTTTTTCATGAATGCCGATATTGTCTTCCCTTTTTTGGATTATAAGCTTATATCTTAGTAAGTGACATTAACATCTTCGGAATCGAAAGTGCCGAACAATTCGATTTCTTACATTCTGGATGAGCTGCATGCAGCTCATCCAAAAAGTAAAAGAAGCATGAGTGGACTAGAGTCCAGGCATTCACAAAAGAGTAGCAAGAGCCTCAGCAAATGCAGTTGGTTATCTACATGAAGAGAGTTTACGTTAGTAAATGAATTAGTTTAATCACACTCTTTGGAGGGGTATAATATTACATTTTTCCAGTGTTGCAATACTTTTGACCCATGCTGATTATATTTTTAAATGTTTCTTTTAATTTGACAGACCCTGGCAACCAACAGCGACCTTCTGCAAGGGCCTTCGAAGGTCTTCTTCTACCTCGGGAAACTGAGCAAAACCGTGGCGAGGTCCTACTACACGGCCTACCCGGGAAAGAACGTGTACTCCTTCGGGTACTCACGGCTGCCGGGGAGGAACGGGACCTCCAAGGCGATGTCCTTCCGTGCCTACGCCTGGTGCCTCTACTGCCGAGGCGAGGGGCCCAAGGTCGTCCTCGCCGACAAGGTCTCCTGGGCGCCAGGGAGGGGGATTCCATCCATGATGGTCAACCCGTCCAGCGTCCCTCATAATTTCCATGGATCGAGGTTTGTCAATTTTGTTTCCGTTCGATGGCTTGAGAAACCTTGTGCTGGGAAATGTATGGAAATTGTTTGGAAATCGAATTGAAAGGCAGAGAAAAGAAGCGTGAGGGAGATGAGGATTATACTGTGGTGTGAATTAAAATACCATTGCCCCTTCGGCATCGAGGGTCCTCACATAACATCTGGCAGCAGTGACGTAGGAAGGGGGGGAGGTTTAGGGGGTTAGAACACCCCAACCCCCTTGGGCTTCCCTGTCAGTGACACCGACAGACATATTTCAACCTTCCTTGGGAATTCCAAAATTAGCTATGCCCCTTCAAGGAAAGTCAAATGTCCGTCCACAGACACAAAATCCAAGAGCTTGATATCTTTGAGAAAGTAAATTCCAGGTAGTAGAGCTAGGCGCAGGGTTGGGGTGTCTACCTGGCCTCAACCCCCCCCCCCCCCCCCCCCCCCCCCCCCCCCACCTGGGCTAGGCGCAGGGTTGGGGTGTCTACCTGGCCCCCCCCCCCCCCCCCCCCATTGCCGATATCCTGCCTCCGCCACTGTCTGGCAGTGGTTTTTGAATGAAAAAACGACATAGCTACAACTACAGCAGACAGACGAAAGCAGGTACCTTACCAAGGCGCGTCTTTAACTCCTTATTTCCACTTCGGTGTAGTTAGGCCTTCTCCTCCTCGTAAGCATTCAACACTCGAGCTTGAACCGGCGGCGAATGATATCGCTGGAATTCCATGACGTCAAGAACCTCATCCACCAATCGGTGATAATCAGACGGGTCCCGTGACCCCGCCCCCTCTGCGTGCTCAGCTTCCTGCCTTCCTCCTTTTCAGTAGTGCTCAGAAACTACAGGGAGCGGCAATCGTCACCCAGGATGTAGTTACATTCTTAATGTCATCGGTGAATTTGAGCTACCTCTTCTCGGTCCTCATAAAAAAAGGACTGGGTCTTAGGATACGCTTGGTTTCCGGCCTGTGTAAACTCATGTCGTAAATAAATTCTTGTTACAAACAACACCACGGAATTTCTTGGGTTAGGAGTGGCAAAGTTTCCCACACGGCGTGTTGCGAAGAGTTACGAAAGAAGTAAGCTCGAGATCCATTTCAGGAACCTTACTCTGTATGTCTGGGTATGATGGTGGCGGATAGGAGGGGAGTTGGGAGGGTATTGGGGGGGTGCTAGAAAGATTAGGCAGAGTACTGACCGTATAACTGTCACTGGATATGAAGGGAACAGGAAACATCCTTCATGGCATCGTCTGGTATTTGAATAATCTGAATGTAGAACTTATACGCTGAATTATTCATGAAAAAGGTAGAACTACCTTTTCCCACCGATATGTTGAGAAAATTGCTTGATGACGGGGCATTTGGAAGGATCATTATTATATCTTGGAAAAAGCAGAACTTTGCTCACGAATGGCATACACACCATGTCGTCGAAAAGCAGGATATCGAGACGGCGAAGATCGGCGAAACGCGTAAACTCGGATAATCGAAAGTGATTCGCCAATTGCCGAAGTTCTTCCCATCCGGACTCATGGCTTGCATTTCCCGACAGATTCCGCGTCGGGACGAATCCGGGGGAGCCGCACGTGATGTTCATCAAGGACAACCGGACCGGCCTGGTGAAGCCAGAGGGCTACGGCGTGGACCTCCTAAACGTCCTGGCCGGGAAGCTCAACTTCACTTACGACTTGGTCACCGTTGCGGGAGGGGACGGGGGCCTGGCGGATCTCAACGGGACGACGGACGGGTTGGTCGGGCTGGTCCACAGGGGGGAAGTGGATTTCGGGGTGTCGGGGATCATCGTGAATAGCGTGAGGTATAAGTACGTCAAGTTCACCACGCCGTTTTGGTTGGATCAGATCGTGATGATCGTGAACAAGCCGCCGAAGCGGTCGCCGGCGACTCAGATCTTCCAGACTTTCACCTGGTCGTTTCTCGGGCTCTGGGTCGGGACGTTGGTCGTTTTCATCGCGGTCGTGGAAGGGATCAAGTATGCCATGCCCTTCGATACTTCGGGGTTCGAGTCGCCGTGGGTGACGGTGTTCAGGGTCGTCACTTACGAATCGGCACCGCACAATGCGTACCTGCCGAATTTGTCCTTCAGGATCGCCTTTGGTTTCCTCTGGGTCTTCATGGTCGTGTTTTACGTCATCTACCAGGCCACGCTTCAATCCATGCTCAGCGTCGTGGAATACGGAGAGAACGTGAACACCATCAAGGATTTCGAAGCGCAGGGTCTGAAATGGTTGGTCAACAAGGGCGCCGTCGCAGACCTGTACTTCGGGAATAATCCTTACATGCAGGCTGCAAAGGTCCGCTTCGACCCGAACGCCACCGCTTTGGACATCATGTTGACGAACCCAAACGTATACGGTACGGGGAGCAACAGGATCGGATTCGAGAAGAACTTGAATAATTACGTCCAGGCAGATGGGTCCCAACCGTTCCGACCTCTGAAGGAACCGCTGGATATGTACATCGTTTGCATCCCGTTACCGAAGGATTCGACGTTTCAGGAACCGTTCGACCGAGTGATCCGGCGGTTCGTCGATGTGGGCCTCGTCGCGCACTGGAAGGAGATGGCGCAGTTCAGGAGCACGCTCCGCCGCATGAAGGAGATCGTCGCCAGGAATGGGAGTTATGCGGAGAGGCGCGTGGAAGAGTTGGTGCCCTTTGGGATTCCTCATCTCGTTGGGGCGTTTGGTTTCCTCTTGGTCGGGTACACGCTCGGGATCCTCGTCTTCTTTGTCGAGATCGGTGTAGGGCGGCGGGCTGTAGCGCGAGCGGCGCGAATGCAACGGGACGAAATCGCGAGACCGTGAATGCTGGGGTCATGCCGTGGGCGAATATCGGGGATAAGTCGCGTCGATGGCGTTCGTTCGTACGTGGTAGGTTCGCTTCGTTGTAGATGTCAACGCTGTGGGGAATCACTTCTACTTATTGCTGATTGTATCGGTCGTTGTCGTTCGGTCTGTCTTCGTATGTCGTCTCTTGAAGTTCTTTTCACATTTCTTTGTCTCCTTTAAATCTCGTGCTTCACCCTCTCGAGAAAAAGATTGTTTGCGTGAGACTGGAAGTTGTCAAATTCTTACTACCAAACGTTGTGACCTGAGATTTGTTACTCTCATTGAGATTGCAGGAATACAACTTCTATCTGGAATTTTATTTAGTATCTTGCCACTTGTGTTTCTCTTGAGGGATTTGGTCAGTGTAAAAACTGCCTTCACGCCATTCTTTCAATCTGATACGCCTTGGATTCCTGTACTTCAGTAGATGTTTTTGTGCTTTCTATGAAGTCTCCGAATATTTGTGATCAGGACACCTCAATCAGGGACATTCCATTCAGGGATACAATCCAGACTTGATTCGCTCTGGTGCCTTTTGATCAAGACAGCCTCCGGACATGAGAACGAGTACTCCTGTCCTACAAGTGGATGAATCAAAAACCTGGGAAACATGCTGGTTTCTCGTGTCTCCAATTCCCCGAAATAAATGTACTGTAGTTGCAGTCAAGTTTGTTTCTATATTTCTTCAATTCAAAACTCCACTTTGACAGTCTACTTTTCCCTCCTTTTTATGCTTGGGCACATTTCTTCGCATTCCTCATGTGAAGACCGCCAGAAGTATTATACACACTGTTATAGAAATAATTTCCATCACACTTTTACCCCATACAATTCAAGGGAAATTACTCTAACAGCTTCCAACATAAATCAAAGTGAGGTTTTCCAACGATTACGCCCAACTCAAGAGATCGGGACGATGTATCAGGAAACTCCCATTTATATTTCAACCCACGAATGATGATGGGTAATGGTAGGAAAAGCGCTTCCTAGGGCATACTCATCTCCGTCCTGAAATAAACTTTGAAGATTCACGTAAAAGCCCCATGACGCTCAACAGCTACCAGAATATCTCATGCGACCTCTTCCTGTGTCTGCCCCTGATTCCCCTGAAGGTCATCGGCGTCATCAATCTTCGCCGTGACCTTGGCCCACATTCAGGCCGAGACCAAGCTCTCTTGGACTGGATCCTCCGAGAACTGGAGGGAAAATAATATCCCGTGTTGTACCTGGAGGCCTCGCTGGACGACTGACTGGGAGCGGACGTGGCAACCACAAAGTTCCTCATGGATGCAGGGAACGTGCCACTTGTAGACCCGGATGCCTGGGATGAAGGCTCGATCTTGCAGCATGCCTTTGTCTTCGTCTCCTACGACCTCCAGTTAATCAACGCAGTCTGTCACCCATTCTCGGCTTATCCCATTAAATAGATTTAACCATTCAGGGGAAGGAAGCGAGGGACGTTAAGAAAATGTCCAAACCCCCCCCAGGTATATGTCCTTTAGGAGTAAATCCACCTGCTGGAGGGATGTCTACCTGGTTCGTAGTATACATAGGTGAATGACAAAGTGGATTTCCACCAGGTGGGACATCCACCTGGTTCTAAATCAACCTACTATACACTTGGATGTAGATGGACGTTTTGTGAGAAGTCAAATGATTTCAGGTTCTTCTTCCTGATGAAATTCAGGAGATATCTGAGAATAAATGCCACTTTGATGATTGTCGATATCGTCTTCTCTCTTGGGGGTGATAATTATTTCAATATAATAACTTCCAGGCACAAGGGCGATTTTCCTTAAACCTTATATTTGCCACTCAACTTCGGCATTTGTTCCGAGAAAATGGCGTTATTACTTCAGGCCTGACGCAACTTTCACATATTGCGTCCGATCCGCACACCAATTCCTAGCAATGCAGAATAATGATGAACGGCAAACAACTCTTCGACGGGAAGACAGGAGCAAATTCTACGCGTTTCAAGGCAAGGTCCCATCACCAACGATTTACAGCCAGCAACGAGAAAAGTCATTTTCTGATCATTCATAATGTGTACATCTGGCACTCTCGTATCGGAAAAGAAACCATTTTGGAGTAAATTGGTGCCCTATTGAGGATTGTTCGGGATCTTGGGAGTAGAGGAAAGCAATCCACTTAATCCACGTATCGATTTTCGACCTAGGACGATGACGAAACGGTTCAAGAACATTACGTGTTTCTTTCCCGACGAGGCATAATTTATGAAGTCGCGGGAAGTCCCATTTAGGTTCGTTGAGAGAGCTGGAGAAACGCATTACTCCGCGACCTTGAACCATGATCGGGCCGAAACGGAGGTCGGACTGGATCCTCCGGAGACCGCAGGGTGAAAATCACCCTGTGATTGGGTAATCGATTGATTGGGCATGGGTAAGATGCTCGTGATCGATGGGGTGTTGATTCTCGGGAGCGGATCCCTCGTGGAAAAGCGGTGGAGCTGACTCGAAACGGGAATTGCGGGTGTCTTTGTGCTGTCTCGCTCTTCGCTGTCAAGTTTCTATTAGAGAAAGCGTAATTCACGGAATTATGCTTTCATTAATATATACCTGTATATGCCTTTGTCTCGAGACTCATAAAAGTTATGGCCAAAAATCACCCTCATCACCCAGTTTATTTTCCCAATAAACTATCGGAATTTCGACAAAGTTGGCTTCGCCGAAGCAATGATATGAGCAATGAGAATGAATCGGTAATTTAAATGGATCAAGGACACCCGTCCTTTCCTAATTATTACTTTTAAATTACTACATTCCGCTCGTCGCCGGCTTAAGAGGAAAATCAAAAGAAATTCGAAGCAAATTCTCTGTAGACTTATTGATTCATCGCTCAATAATTGGAAAAACTACGAAAAGTTGATACGTTTGGACCATATCCAACTTCTCGAGAGTAATTTATGCTTCGGTTCGGCGAATCAGAATGGAACTTGAAATGGACATCGAGAACACAGGATTGCGAACGAAGGGCACAGATTCGGCGAGAAGTTTTCTCATCATTGGGATCATTATGAAATCAGATGAGATTAAGTTTTAGTCGATCAGATGCATGTTACCCGTGGCTGATGCTTCAGCTAGTGGCTTCAGGGCATCTTCCAGGCAGAATTCGCAAGAAGGAAAACTTGAGACTGTGGGATTACTTGCGAGGAGCGACAGGAAGTCGTCTCTATGATTTGTCTGGAATTTGTGACTGGGCGATTTGGCAACCAAGCTAAGAAAAAATAACAATAAATCATTTAAAAAAAAAGAAATCTTTAAAACGTGGGTGAGCTGGGCAAACTCAATTTAACCACGGGATTCCTGCGTTCCTCTGATTTTTTTTTCTGTTGGATTTTCTGCATTTTTCTACTCACTGCTACCCCAAATGAGGGAAACATGTGACTCTGGCACATAGATTCCACATGCAAACGTGCAAAATCCAAAGCGATGATGAATCACAAGGCACTCATAAACGATTCTCCAACCCAATATATTTCTGCATGCTGATAGGCATCTTCGAGGCAAATTTGGCATATCAATGAAGAAGCGATGAAGAGAATATGGAAGCGAATAAAAAAATACGCAACGAGTAATACACTGACTCTCATAGAAAGGAGTAAATACTTCTCAATTTTCCAGAATTCGTTTTTAGGCGTCACGAGAAGAAAGGTAACACTGATGTGTTACAAATTTGCGGGGGGTGTTTCTTCGTGGCAGTTCTTGGCCTTACCCAAGTCCGAGTCGACGAACTCCTCTAATCTTTCCCAAAACTCTTGGAAAGCTTCCATGTCGTTGTGGCCGGCTCCTTGCACCCAAAGAGGGGCTAATTTATTCTTGCACCGGTCGTACACCATCTGTCCGTGGGAGAAATTGATCACTTCGTCCTTCGTTCCGTGGATGACGAGGACGGGCGCGGTGATGCGAGGCGCCTTGTCGACGCTGGGGAAGGAGTCGATGCTCCAGGTGGACGACATGCTGGGGAGGAGCATCCTCAGCGCTGAGGCGAGGGGCGATTGAAGGATCACACCGGGGATTTTGTGGAGCCTGGTCGCCAGGTCGATGGTGGGGACCGTTCCCAAGCTTCGACCGTATAAGATCACGCTTTCTTCCTGGACGTGGTACTTGGTGCGGAGGGCGTCCCAGGCCGCGTCGAGGTCCGAATACAAGTTCTTCTCCGATGGCTTACCCTTGCTGGCCCCGTACCCGGAGTAATCGTAGCTGAAGACGTTGCAATTGAGGCGATTGGCCAGACGAACGAAGAAACTGGCTGTCTGTCCCAAATCCACCGCGTTCCCGTGCGAGAAGAGAATCGTGTACTTTGCGTTTGCAGCACTGCTGACGAAGAGGCAGACGATGTCATTCCCCGAAGACGTTTTCGTGAAGGAGACATCCAACAGATTCTTCTCGCGTTCGCCGTACTGCCACATGGCAACGTCCTTGAAGGACATCTTGAGGAGTTTGGCATCGTTGGAAACGATCTCGTAGGTCGGGCTTGGTGGAAGGAATGCGATGTAGTCGGCAATAGCAGCGAAGACTCGGCGTGGGGATACGAAGTCAAAAAAGGTTGCCATAACTCGAGTTTCGCAGAGCTCCAAATAATTTAGAGGCTCACAATCGTCACCATATTACTATTGGTTAAAGATTCTCGTACCGTGGAGGAGGCAAGAATTTTACCTTTCAGATACAAGAGGGTGTACTTAAGAAGTTTTCACCATCCCCCTGCTGTGGTGAGGTACAATTCGGGCACAGAATGAGCCGTTGCTCCTAATCTGTGCCGTCACAAAGGGATACGATAACTGTTATCACTTTGTTTCCATATGATTCATGAGCTAATAGGTTGGAACCAGCTGAAAGAAGTTCCCTCCAAAATACACTAAGGCGTTTCACAGAAGCGTGAAGCACCTTGAAAATGTATCTTATCACTTGTAAGAGTCGTTGGGCAATGGGGCAGAGCTAATGGAAGTGAATGCGCCACTTCGAGCCATACATGGGATTTGTGGGGACTTAATTGCATCCATCTCCCACTTACTTCCACAATCTCCTTTGTGAGAGGTGATTAACGGAATTTTAGCAGAAAGACCAACAGCATACAAGGGCAATCCAGAAATTCCCAGCAAAATAAAGTTCTAGTTGTAATACATTGCTCTTCCTTTTCAAAATGACAGACATATTGAAAGTTGATTGGCGAAGTTTGATCATTTTTGGTGGTGACTGACAATTGCTGCAGATCTTTAATTGGGCTACAAAGGGAATTTCTTAAAATAAACTGAAAATTTTGACAATTTTGAGGCAGAGGTATTTATCAGCCCTCTGTGGATTGGATAATCTTGTAGCAGCTCTTTGAATAGATGAAAGGATGGCCCTCTACTTCCCCTCCATCCCAATAATAATGCAATCAAGCGACTTAATTACTGGGAAAAGAGCTTAGCTTAAAAAAAATCCAGTAACTACCTAAAGAGTTCATGATTGCCTTGTTAATGAGCCTAAACAGGTCCTTTTTCATGATGGCCCACCACGCAGCTAACAGACAGATTCAGAAATTAATAATAGGAGAAGCTAGGATCAGACTAGTAAGTAGGGTGGTATGAGAAAGGGGTGGATAAGGTGACAAGGCAGGGGCAATAAGGAATATAAACATTCATTCTGGATTGCCAATGAAGCCCTAGAATGAAAATAAATTAATAAGAATACAGACTGTAGGAATATCCCCCTGCCCCACCCTAGATTTTCCACTGATGGAGCAAGCAAGCAAAGTTTTCCTGGATTCACAGAATGTATTCTTTCAAACGCATTCTTCTGAGAACAACAAACTTTTTTGGGCAGAGTAAGATGCATTTTCCCATGAGTGCTCTCAGCAGAGGCATCCAGAGCATGGTGTACTTAAATGCTCCAAGGGTGGGACATGTCATATACCACACCTAACAAATTAAACTTAGGGAAACATCTATAGCTTTCCCTGGCTTGGGGCAACGAACTCCAGTTGCAAAGGAGTTTTTCACTGTCACTGAAGTCAGATCATAACTTCTCCTCTTCTGGGGAAGGAATGCTGAACAGGCTCTTGAAATGTGGGAAACTGGTCCAGCATTCCAAGTTACATCCCTTGCCTTCAATGGATCTGATTTAGATCCATTCAAGTCAAGGGATATCATTTCAGTTAGGTTAAAGGACATAATGGTGAAAAAAAAAATGTTCCTTCACAATAAACATTTTCTATCCACTGTACCACAAGTTTCTCTCTCCCATACCTCAGATATGTACTAACTGCTTACAGAACATTAATGCAGTTCCCTATGAGCTTTACTCAACATACCTAGCAGCCTCATTTTATTTATGGTATAGAGATATTTAAAATGCTTTTTCAACTAATTGATAATGAAATGGGGACAGAGCCTCTCATGTACATGAATTGGTTACTATTATGGAGCAATGATCTTTTGCAGGCTCACAAAAATACAAGGCTAAGGCCAAAGTAATACGAATTTTAAAAGTGTACAAGGCTGGCTGAAAAATAGCATCAGTAATGATGGACATATGTATGATTTATTCATTGTGTATTGACTCTTTGCATGAAAAATGAAATATGTGTGGAATCATAAACTTGAAGTCTTGGCATCAGCAATTGCAGCCTCAAACATCTTGTGATTGCCCCAAGGGAGACTTGGGTCATCCAAGTGAAGATCAAAGTCAACCACATCCTGATACCACTTTTCATTAAATAGCTTGGCAAGTACCTCCAGGCTGTCAAGACCCTCCTCCAAGTGTTCAGCATTATTCCATGGGGTAGACTTCCACTTTCCATCTGACCACTTATACATTGTGAAAAGTGGAGGGCAAGTTCGTGGATTGTTAAAGTAAGCTAAGCTCTTGTTGTTGAGGACCAGGAAGATGGCTTCGGATAAAGGACTCTGCTGTGCAACCTTCTCTCCAATTTTCATCCCGATTACGTCCCCATGAGTTTGCGAAAGAGACTCGTTGACGTGATAGTAACCTGCGAGGGACAAGTTTTTCTTCTGGCAATATGCTTCCACTTGTGGGAGTGCAGCCTCCAGCATGGGACTAAGGGTTATATTGGAATGGAGTAGAGGAACAGCATCTTCAATCACAAACTGATGGCCTGACTTCTGAATCAACAGAACACCATTCACTGCTGCATGAGGATACTTAGCTGCATGAAGAACCAGTTTGACCAATGCAATGGTCTTCATTGTCACAGAATTCCGACCTGATTCCATTTTGCAGTTCTAAAAGAAAACCAAATTCAAAATATGAACACCTAGTGCAGTAGGTCTACGCTTCAGGGAGGCTACTTGTGCCAGCAATCCAGGAATACCTCGGCAAAACTCACAAGAGTTCTCACTTTAGAAGAAAAAGTGGGGCCAAGTAAAAAACGAAAATAGTCACATGAGCCTACAGCAATAATGTAGAGGAAACGCATATCGAATCGGACTGGCGGCCTAGAGGTCTTCCGGGAAACATTCCAGAATAAATGAGGGCCGCTAGGATAAGGCACATTTTATGATAACAGGGTCATGGTTGCGAATCGTTTTTAAAGTTTTACATAAACAGACAACATTCACGGAGTCAATATCAATATATCGTCATCAACTGCAATTAACGTTCATTATAATTCCACTTAAAATTGTTTCAATTCAGGTCTTGGGGGGACGGGAAATTTCCCGGTATCCCGGTGGGCCAGTCCAATCCTGAATGCATAACATGAATTGCACCAGGATGCTCACGATACCTAGACGTCTCCCGGCTGGAGGCGACCATAAATTACCAGTGTTGTCAGGAGCCCCAGTATCTACATTAACTTGTAAATGAATACAGAGTTCATGTCGAATCAACTTGCAACTTCTCCACTAATATGCAAAATTCAGTGGAAAAGTCTGTTTTAAAATGTTATTCAATGGATAAGCTGATGCAATAAATGAAAGTACCCCAATCCTGACTTTCCTCAATGTCGCTCTGTATTTATGGATGCCCACATAGATCATGCAGTTAGCACGTGCTATATGATTCTGGATTAGAGCCTATAGGTCAGATCGAGGAACAGAAATAATGCATTTGATTTGTTCTTAAGATTACTAGCATAGTGAAAGCCTATCAAAGGCATTCTTAGGATTCCTTTATTTTTCTATCCCCCCTCCCCCATAGCCCTTGCGGAGTCCTCACGCTAGGCCGGTAACTGCTAAGCACGCCCCTCCTAGAATAATAGCACTCCCCGTCTCCAATGTTTCCAGATTAATTCAACTGGAAACATGTCATATCCATTGGGGTTTCTTTTACTTATAATAAACACACACGCAACCTATCCTAACTTTAAGGGCAACACAATATCCTTAGGGAGTACACGCTTAATCAAACCCGTTAGGCCTAATATCCCATTCCAAAAATGAAAAGGGGCGCTCTCTCATGCTTCTACCGTGCAGCTCTTCTTTCAATATTACTGCGTTCATGATTTTACACCTTTGGGAAACTCTTAATCTTTTATTGAGTTTGCAATATGTGACATACTTCACTGGAGTCTTGACTTGGCAATGAAAGGGAAATGAAATGATCCATTTCATCTGCTTTAAACTTTTTTTTTTTTTTTTTAGAATGGGGTATTTGAAATACTAAATAGAAATAGTCTTGCCTTGTCAAATATCAGTGAGTGGGTTTTGATGCTCCCTAATCTCAAAGCTGGTAGAAAATAGGTTTTGCACATGTTTGAGGTCTGGGCATGCTATATCATAATTCTTTAACTGTATCAGGTATGTATGTATAAAATTTCATTGCAATTCAATTTTCTAGAAAACTTACATATTAGAATATTAAATACATGAGCTTGGCAATAAATCTTGCCTCTGAGAGGGCACCATTGCCCAGTAGGTGGCTTTCTCTTCAGATCACTGACGATTTATTTAAAAAATTTGAAATGGTGGTTTAACAGTGAAAACACTTTGCCAGAAAGGGTTAAATCATTGTTTATTACCTTTTTTTTTTTTTGGTTGTGAGGATTGCAGGTTTTTTAAATTTCAGTTCAACACTGCAGTAAACTCCAGTACAATAAAAATCACGTAAAATAAAAAGAGGAAATATCTAGTGTTGCTTAAATAGGGACTGGTTGTAATGGATACCACTCTAGAAAAAGGAATCCTAATTGTTCCTGGAAGAAAGTCATTCTCACAGTCAACTACAACTTCATAGCTAGTTATGGAGTTGCTTCTGGTTCAAGGTATATTTCCTCCTATGTGGTTAATCCCCTGAATCATGATAAACTCCAATTGGGCCTTGATCATGGCACTTCTACTTCCATTTCCTGTTCTCAGTAGTCAGAAAAAGACATGTGAATGAAACCAGAAAATCATGAGTAGATTTCCTAGTTAAGAGGATGTCATTCTTCAGTTAGCTTGAACATCCCAAGATGATACTGAGAACTCCACTTATGAGGATGCTTCCTCTTGCTGGTACATCAAAGATCATGGCAATGAGTAAGAAGCAGGCCTCCACAAAGATATACACCCGCACTGGGGATAAAGGGAAGACATCAACATATACAGGAGAACGTAGGCTGAAGAGTGACCCCATCTTTAATGCACTTGGTACCTTGGATGAACTCACTTCACACATTGGGTTTGAATGTTCTTTTCAAGTTCTGGTAATCTCTTTAAAATTTTTTCACATTTCCGAAATTAACTATAATCTACGTGGTCATTTAGACTGGTGAGCGCATCTGCAACAAAAGGTGAATACATGGAGCAACTAAAGCGCATTCAGTGCATATTGCAAGATATAGGATCATTGATTGCAACTCCACGGAGTTCGGCCAAAGAAAAGCATGCTTACCTCACAGAGTTTGACAAATCTTTCATTGAAGACATGGAGGCCTGGATTGATGCTTACACAGACCATCTGCCTCCTCTCAAGGCTTTCATCTTGCCTGTGAGATGACATCAGAAGCTACAGACAAAGGCTGTGCATTCTGTCATTCCATGAAGCTGATGGAGGTCTTCTCTCCTCTCACATGTCATCAGGGTGGAACAGTGAGGAGTGCACAAATTCACATAGCAAGATCTGTATGCCGACGTGCAGAGAGGTCGATCCTTCCATTGGTAATAGATGAGGAAGTGGATCCAAAGGCTCTTGCATTCGTCAACAGGTGAGCCCACTGCCTTCCACTTTTTTTTACTCTGAAGCTATGTTATTTGCCCATATTTCTCAGTGTAATGCCATAGTTCAGGTTTCTAAAGGTATATCATTTTCAATAAATCAACCTGAAACATGTAATGGACTGCATTGACAAGGATATATGACCGTGCTAATTCAGTCCCCTGATCAGAAATTTTATATCAAGGAGACTTCATTCTATAATTCAGTTCATCTGAAAGTCAACCTCTATGTGCATGCTTGGGGTGCTATATGTCCATAAGGATGCCCAATATCAGACACAGCTACATAACTGCTCCAGTGATAGGGTCTTTGACTCCTAATGTGAGATGACAGTGAGAGTGAGAGGGAAAGCAGAAATTGAATAATATTGGGGAATATTTTAGTCCTGTATTTCACAACATATTGAAGTGCAAGTTCCACCAACTTTTCTAAATTGGATATTGACTAACATAAAGTTACACTTTTAAGATATTTTTTTCCAACTTTTCTTAGCATGTTTACAAATGAGTGATAATAGTCTGTCACTTCTTGCAGGTTGAGTGATTATCTTTTCACGTTAGCAAGATTTGTGTGCCATGAAGAAGGAGGAGAAGAAACATCCTATCGAAAACCTCGACCACATTCTGAAGGGCATGATTGAAGATACAAAGCTTTATAAGCCTCACGAAATCATATGTATTTATTTGAGATTATGTTACACCGCCATATTGATTTTAAAAAGGTAATTCTCTGGACTGGGTGGAAACCCACTTGATTTCAGTGAAAGTGAAATGCAGAGTGTAAGTTGAGCAAATGATTCAAAAGTGTTGTATCATAGACCTTATTTGGAACCTTATCCAAAAAATGTATTTATGAATAGATGATATTAAATACTCCTCACAAAAGGAATGTTTGAATTATTCTTGACCATGAATTATGGTCAAGAATGCAGAGTCTCTTGGTGCAATGCCATCATGTTTATTTGAGAGGAAAATGACCAGACACTGAAACTTGCAGGTGAGAGAAGGGGACACATTTGCACCAGAAGAATCACAGCTTGAACCCTGAGTGAATGGCACAAACACCACCAGTTAGGTTCTCATGATAAACTCCCTGGAATCCTGCTTCCCTCATCATGTCTTCAAACTCCTCCTGTTAGGGAGGAAATTAAAATAGTTTACTCATCTAGCATATTAAATATCTATACCTAAAGAAGACAGCACTTCTAACCTTTGAGGGTCATCCTCAAATAGATGCCTCCTCTATTTTTTTCTCAAAAACCTTTTATCATACAGGAACACAAATTTCACAGTGAATGCATATGCCTTTCAAGATCCTTCAGTTATTTTTCCATGTAGTTTCCATCCCTTTTTATACATTTTCACAAACATTGAACAAGATTTTGTATTCCAGCATGGCTGAAAAACTTTTTTGCTTCATGCAATCACTTGCAAACAGCTCATTTCCCTTCACTGTTGTCTTCAAAATGTTTTCCTCGAAGACCATCCATCAAGGCACTGAAAAGATGGACATCTGGGCTGTAAGATGGATGAGAGGGAAGAGTCCCTCTGATTTTTGCGATCAACCATGGCAGCATTCTCTCCAGTCACAGCTATCACAGGCTGCCAAGTGTTGATCGCAGGCTGATCACAAAAGTCTGAGTGACTCTTCTCTCTCATCTGTCATACAGTCCAGATCTGGTGCTCCCAGATGTCCGTCTTTTTGGTACCTTGCAGGATGGTCTTCATGGAAAACATTTTGAAGATGATGATGCAGGGAAATGTTCAGTTCAAAAATGGTTGCATAAGGCAGAAAAGTTTCTTTGCTGGCATGCAAGGTCTTCTTAAACGATTGGAAAAATGTATTAAAAGGGATGGAAACCATGTGGAAAAAAAGTGAAGGATCTCAAAAGGTGCATGCATTCACTGTGAAATTTGTGTTCCTCTACATTAAAAAGTTTTTGAGAAAAAAAAAAAAGGAGACATCTATTTGGGGGTGACTCTCATACTTAGGAAAGTTTCATGAACACTTTTTTGTTGTTGTCAGACTTAGTAAATTCCATCAATGGTCTAAAGAGCCTACCTGAGGGGGGAACTGTCTGATGCTCTCCACAAGATACTGGTAGGAGTCCCAGTCTCTGGCAAGAACTTGCCCTAGAACTGGGATGACTTGGAAGGAGTACTGATCATACAGCCTTGAATAAAAGTTTGTACAGTTTAGATGACACTGGAAAACTGCACTTACTGTGGGGGCTGCAGAAAGGTCAACAGAGAAAAAGTTATAATTATGAAATTACTCCATTAAGTGAATTTTTCCATTTTAATGATCGCAAGGACTTAAACTGGTAAGATCAAAATAAGACTTCAGCATCTCCAACTCTCACAGTATTCAGAGTTTGTATAGAAATGTAAACAAATAGCACATACAAACTTTTTAAAAAGAAGTTCAGGTTTACATTAAATACTGCACTTAAAAAAGGGAATAGAGAAATAAAAAGAGCATATAAACTTGAACAGATCTTCCTGAATATAGATAAAAATTAACCCCAACACCCAGTTCAAAGTAAAAAAAAAAGGGTTCATATTTCTTTGATGATGACAGATAGTAAGAACTTTATGTTCTCAAGTTCATAAACATCAATTTATTGACTTCTTTACTTTATTACTTTACTTCCTTTACTTTAATTTACTCACCATCTAAGAAGGGAGTTCTTCACAAGACTGAATTCCAAACACATGAAACGTCCACCAGGCTTCAAGACTCTGTATGCTTCCTGAAGTACCTGGTACACATCAAAGTTCAAGATCCCAGTTAGCATCTCAATTCTCAAGAAGAACCACACTTTTTATAATGGGGGTGAAAGATAATGCACCTTTTCCACATGAGTGCAGTTCCTTATACCGAATGCAATGGTACAAGCATCAAATGAGTTGTCATCAAATGGGATATCCTCAGCATTACCTTCTTTCCAAGTGATCACATTTGCAAGCCCAATACGTTCAGCCTTTCTCTCCCCCACATTGAGCATTGCCTTGTTAATATCACAAACAATAATTTGACCTTCAGCCCTTTGAGCAGGGTCTGCATCACCTGGCCGTGGTCTCAGAATTTTGGCAAACCGTGCAATCCTGATGGCCACATCTCCTGCAAAGGACAGTGCAAATGTATATATTCAACATTGAATGAGTGCAAAAAACACATGAAATCAATTCACACTGCATGTTAGCAAAAACTCACTGACCTGTTCCACCAGCCAAATCTAGGATTTTCATCTGCTGAGTAGGACACAGCTGCTGTACAAAGTAATCCTTCCACAGGCGGTGAATTCCACAACTCATTGCATCGTTCATAAGGTCATATTTTTCTGCCACATTGTGAAACACATGGTACACTAAAAAGGGGAAAACAAAAACAATCACCTCAATAGTTTTCACAGGACCAAAGCAAGAGGCAGTAGAGTTAATTTTGTGCAAACCTCTACATCATCAACCAGAACATGTTGTATACCAGCTTAATCTATTCCCACTGCCATATGCTGTTTGTGGTGGTGTGGGGAGCCATTCATGCACAAGTCCCCTCATCATCCCCATTCTATCCTATGATATAAAAATAAAAAATGCTGACTTCATGCGGAATGAGGGATGCAACTTGGAACCTGCTAGACCTAATCAGACTTTACACTCAATAAAAGGAACTCAGATGTTTTTGGTTATCCACAACCTTAGATAAAGGCAGCTTGCAAGAATCGTGCTGTTTTTTTTTTTAAGAATACCCTGATTGCTTAGTTAACAATGGTTGCTGCATGCTAAGGATTACATCAATGGGAGCCTCTAGTGAATGTTGGGAGGAAAATTTTGCATTAATTTGAGTATGTACAGCCATCCCATTTTTTTAAAAGAAACTTTCAATGAAATATTTTGGAGCTGCTAATTGTTGCCACATTCAAATCAATCAGTTTTATTATACACAAATAATCAACTGATCCATCAAATTTTATTGAGCCTTAAGTTTCCTCCTTGAATATGGAGATTTGCCCCCCTTTTTGAATTGTTGACAGCATTACCTAGGCTTTCAAACAACAAAAGCATGTTTCAAACTAGAATCTGCTCATGCCCTACCTTAAGCACATCCTTCATGCATTAAGTCTCACATTTATCTTCCTTGTCTTGCTCAGTGTGGCGAGGATGGTTTTGTTCAGTCTTTACAGATTTCAGAGGGGCAGTTGCACTAAGTAAGAGGCCTACCATAGGCCCTAATTAATGGGAAGTTCTAATGTCGTACCCAGGCCATCTGAGCAAGAGTAACCTAGGCCCTAACGCCAAATTTAGGCCAATTGAGAAGAAATGCATACAAAATTAAGACAAGTCTAGTCTTGAAGGAAACTCGTAGCTGTATGAGTAAGTGCTGCTGCTTCTCAAACTCAAGTCTGCCGAGTTACGACATCTAAAGACTCACCCATCTGCGACTTCTCCTCTTCGGTTACATCCTGAAACCCAAAATGCGTTTTCGGTTTCTCTTCCCCCGCCCGCCCACCCGCAAGATGCCTCGCAAACTGCCCGCGAAGCACGACCCCCGACGAACGGCAACGGGAAACGCCAACAGCCACCCCGGACGCTTCCTTCCCGAAGCATCTCGCCGGCAAGATCGGGGAGACGAGGACTGTCCGGACTCTGCAGAGCACGTGACACGTGAGGGCCGCCATTTCTCGGTTACGAAAGGCATTTATGTCCTTGTTCATTTCCAGTCGAGATCGAGCAATCTTAAGGCAGGCCTCCCACTCCAAAGATGAATATTCTGGATGGAGACTTGTCAGTCTACTGTATCGTCATTTGTTTTATATATACCTTTTTTTTTACTTTGTCCATGAAGGCATCTGACATCAACCTCAACCCTATATTCCAGGGATTAAAATATTATTTATTTATTTATTATTATGTACTTAAAAAAAACATGTCAGGGTCTTTTTCCCAGGCATCCTGAACTCTTCCTTCAGACTCATGATTCTAAAGCTCCACCCAAACGGCCGAATCTTCCTCGAAGCTATTCCACGCCTTGCCACCAAAAAAAAAAAAAAAACGAAAAATATCGGATTTAATCCCTCTTATTTGCACCGACTCTAAACGGTGCCTCATCCTTCGGCGACTCGAAGAATTCCTCTCATTTCAACTCGACGAGCCGATTTTTACTCCGCGCATTCAAATTTTCGTATTCCCTCTTGATGGAGAAACAACTTTTCTTGGGAAATTCTCCGGCTGATGCCGCAAGATTTGGAAAAGAAACAGAACTGATCCCAAGATCACTTAGGATCAAATTAGGCAGGTGTGATTAATTAATTAATTAATTAAGGCGTTTGAGTAAATGAGCATCAGAAAATAGAATCTCTCTTCCAACTTGTGCAGGTGGTTCTACGAAAATTCAGCTTTTTTTTTAAAATGCATTTCAAAATTTACCAATAAATAAATATAATAAATAAATGCTGGATGTGGCGCCGTCAAGTCTCAAGTCAAGTCAAGTTCTCGCCGTCAAGTCGGAAGTATTTGCCAGGCATTGTCTGGAAAGATGCGGTTAAAAAAAAAAAGGCTGGAGAATCGCTTCCAGCCTTCCATTGCTTCTTTGGCATTTTGGGGATTTAACACTGCGAACGTATTTTGCGAACGTAGGAGATAAAGCGATGCTTTCCTTGGTTCAATCTTCATCCTTAATATTTTCTTACCATTCTGAGGTTCGAAAATTAGGCGCAAGGTGCGGAAACCCATTCCTTAATGCACCGATATGTCCACGAGATACCAGAAGATCAAAAGCAGATAAAGAAATCCGACTATCGCTTGCAGACCGGCTGATGCCGGTACGGGGACATTTTCGTAGGAAAATCTGAGAATTTCCTCGACATAAAGTTCACAATTTTCATTGAAGTGTGCAAAAACCAGTGAGGAAAAACCCGCCATGAAGTGCTTTCGGAGCGGCTTTTCCCACATACCTTTCTTGACGACCCTCGAGACGCACCTTTTGATCAAAATTGTGACTAAGCACTGGGAAGAGATTCGTGCATCGAGCGACATCTTTTGTCGAGCGGATGAACTACTATTTCACAACTCGACCGGTAGTGCCCGGTAGGGGACCGGTGGGGAAATATGGAGCACGTGCAGAAAGGGGGGAAAAGCCAATCGAAACATCGGGCCAAGTCGATGCTGTAAACTATCTTTTTCACCATGGAGATTCCGGGTGCATTCGTGGATAGTTTCGCTGGCTTCTCAATGTCCCAGACAAAATCACCTCTTTGTGACGAGTATTTGAGCCGCCATCAAGCCATAGATGTATGGCTTGATATATGATAGCTAGGCGTGAAGTTCCCCTGCTGTTGAAGGGGTTCGAATTTATGTTGGACGTGGCAGATACAGCCTTCCCCAGCGGCAAGGCTTGTGAAGGCACTAGAGATATGTATGAGCAAGGCCTATTATAATTTATAAATCAACCCCTTTTCATGCTAGGTTCTTTCAATCCTTCAATTTAAAATTTCTTTGACATTCTATTATTGTGGTAGGCCTGACCAACCTACCAAAAACGAACCTACACAGTTATTTACTTGTGTAAGGATTTTTGTTTTTTGTGATCAGCCACAGTAGACAGTGGATTCTACTCTCAACACAGCCACAGATCAGCCACAGTGGATTCTACTCTCAACTTGTTATAACAAGAAAGAGTGATCAAAGAGCAGTTGTTGAAGTGGACCTATCTGTCTGTCGCTTGTCATCTTGTAAAGATTCCTGCAAAACTTGTCATGTACTGTACACCAAATCAAGGAAGATGTGTAGAGGTTTTCAACAATATGGAATTCACAGTGATCACAACATTGTTCAAATGCCTTTGCTTAAAAATCTTAATTTGGTTAATTGGATACCCATATCCAGTGCCATAGGAACCTGTATTACTACCAATGGAGCCATTCACCTGCAGGGTTGGCCATAAGTCCAGACACTCCTTGATAATTTGTATATTGACATGTTTAATATATTTATGTTGTAGCTATTGAATGATGACTGATGCAAGTTCTTACAGTATTGAAGAACACCTTCTTGCAAGCATCTGGATACGTGAATGACAGATGGTGCTGATATAGATACTGTGGACTTGTACACCTTGAGGTATCTGGACTTATGACCCAACCTGTACATCCAAGATGTGTTATTCCTTTCCATTGATTAGTTCAATTTTATGAGAACTTTTGGTCACGAAACTAAGAAGTGAACAAAAGCAAAAAGAAAAGAAAGCTTTTATCATTGCTACTTAAAGTTTTCTTATCTTATTGAATGAATTGAGGTGGAATACCTCTTAGGTAAATCTGAATTACTATTAGCATATTGGCATAATAACATTTGTTATCCTAGCCTATGGTAGTTGTCCACTCATAACAAGAACCTTCCTTGTAAATGGAGTGTCTGTGTTCATGGTATATAAATATGTGATCATCTCCTGCAGATTCACTGTAGGTTGGCTGCCTTACCAACAATGAGAAAGTTGAGCATGGGATGATGAGCAAGGGGGAGAAACATCACAATGAGTATTTTTGAGAGTTCCATGACTTTTGATGTTTCTCAGACACATGGAGATGGTGAAGACCCTGCAACTGTTTGTGAGTAACTCTTCTTGTCCAGACCTAACCTTTTATGGCATGGACTCATGCATTCCTTGGTCATCTAAGTTCTGTTTCGGCCTACGACAGGCATATGCTGGATATTGTTTGCCTTTTATGCACCTCTACTCTATTGATCCTGTTTAATGCAATGCTATCTATCATATATTGCATGTACCCAGTTTTATTCTTTTTTTCTGCATGCACTGTTTTCAATTTGAATTGGTACCTGTCAGAGTTGTGGAAAATAGAAATTCCATAACTTCCAGAGGATTTGCTTCATCAGGTGTCTTATGAAACCACCCATGTAGAAGATATCGCTACCTAGAACCGATAGAAGTGCTCCTAGGTGGGAGGGGGTACCAATTCAATCCAAAAAAAAGTTTATCCAAGGGTGAGGGAGTGAGGCAAGTCGGAGGTAATACGAAGGATGTACCAAAAGTATTGAGACACTGGCTATAATTTTCCTAATGTTTTTGCCATGAAAATCTAATCCAGTTTCCATCAATGTGTAACAAATATGCAATGCACACTCAGAAGTACAAGTTGCTCTCATGATTAACAAAATACAGGCAGTGAAAGGAGCACATGCACCAGACATTACATCATCTTGTGGATCATGAACCTTCTCCATATAGTCCCCATTGAGGTGAATGCATTTCTGCCACTGCGATTCACACTTGCGGATTGATGCCCTGAACCACAGTGGTTCAGGTCATCAATCTGCAGTTCAGGCATCATCAATTCAGTCAAAGGAGATGTGGAGAAGTTTCATGAGGATCTTCGAGATGACTGAATGTGTTGTCGCATCTGTAATTTCTGGTGCATGTGTTCCTTTCACTGCCTGTATTTTGTTAGTCATAAGAGAGAGAAACTTGTACTTCTGAATGTGCATTGTGTATTTGTTACACATTGAAGGAAACTGGATTAGATTTTCGTTGCAAACACGTTAAGAAAATTATAGCCAGAGTCTCTATGCTTTTGGTACTCCCCTCGTAATTTCCCCACCCGATATCACTAGGGTAGGGTATGGCGCCCCCATGCTGTTGCCCTGCCCCCCCAGACCCTTTCATGTTGATAAGTTAGTTGTCAGTATCCACTTAACAGTGAAGAGACATAGGGTAAGACAGAAATTGTTATTCCATGTATGTAACTACAAAAGTGCCTGTCTATGTTCTGAAATGAAATGCAAAAATGGAATGCTGGTAAGACTTACTGAGTATGGCAATAATAAAAAATTCCAATGACTTTCAACTTGAATATCTCCCCTCAAAATTGAACTATCTTTGCAAAATGTTCACTTAGCATGTATAAGTATGTTTCTAACTGATACTTAAAATGTCACCCAAATTTGTCATGGCAAAGCTTTATTATCAGAAATTATTCAAAAGAAGTTTGACATTGAGCATGCACAAAATCTCTTGCTGGTAGTGAAGTGGAGGAAGCACTCAAGCTCTGTCCTTCCTGGTCATTGAGACCGCATTGAGCTCCTCTTCCATTTAAATGCATACATTGGACTGGTTGTCTCTTGCAGATGCTTTTCATGAACTTATTCCAAATGGATAATAGATGAATCAATGAATATCAATCCAGGGAGTTTTCTCAAATTTTATTCAGAATTTCCTTCAGTTTTTTTTTTAAAGAAATTTTCATTCTAAATTTCAAACTAATCATAGATATAATACCTAGATATAATAACTTTTATCTTAAATAATGGATTTTTGCAGCCTTTTTAACTTGAAAAAATTAAAACATGCAATATAATAAAAGCAATGCAACATGTCCTCAACAAATTTGGTGAGATAAGACTAAAACAACCATGTGATACACTCAAGCCTTTGGTCTTTTTGCCATACCCAGAAAATTTGGGCTGACATAAAACTGGAATTCTAAAATATGTTGAAAAAACTTTTAAGGATTGATATTCATTGATTCATCTGCTATTCTTTGGGAAAAGCTCATGTAAACCATCTGCAAGAGCAGATGAATGAATTGAAATGGAAGAGGCATTCAACTTGGTTCTGGATAACCAATAGGGACAGTGCTTAATTCTTTCCTCCTCTCCACTACCAGCAGGAGCACATTGTCCATTCTCAATGTATAACTTCTAAATAATAAGTGAGGGTATTGCTTTGGCTCTACAAATCCAGATGACACTTTGTGATGCATTTAGAATATAATAATATACTTATCATTTAGGATATAATAATATAATCATATTGAAACACCCAATTGCAACTCCTACCTGAGTCATGTAGAGTTTTGATTGGGTGATTGAGGAATGGTGGAAAGGCTTGGCCTGTCTGCTACCTCTCCACAACTCAGTTTTTATTTGGAATTCTGTATTATACATTGTGTCTGAACAATTTTTTTGCTGTATAATTTGTCTTTGATCTTTGTTAAGGCTTTCATACATTTTACAAAAAGCAGTTCTCCATTTTTGTAAATTTGCCCCATTTTTTCAAAAACCTGACATTTTATCTGTTTAATGAAAATTAAATTTCTTTGGTGCCTTTCAGAAAATACTTTTCTCCTAGGCTTTCATATATCATGCCATAAAGAGTTAAGGGATTTGAAGCCCTTTATTTGGAAGGTATTCCTCCTATTGGTATTAGTTTTATTGGAAATATAAGGTGGTTTGAATCATGAAAGGACTAGGCATGCAAACAAATTTAAAAACAAAAGTGAAAAAAATATCGTATAGATATTGAAGATTAGAATTGAGAAGAATTAAGTGCTTAGGTCACAGTCTTAGGGGGGTTCTGAGGGTTAAATAGTGTAAGATATATTGGAACTTATATAAGACAGGGGAGGATGGAGTAGAAGGGAAGTACAAAGGTATTATTACTGTCGATGTAATCTGACTTTATATGGAAAGCTGTATTAACAGCATATAGAGTGCAAATAAAAAGGATGTTCCCGTTATTCTCTAGTAAATGTAGCAGTGTCTCTTCTATGGCACTATGACTACTTGTATCTACAAACATTAGCAGTTTCAATTCCTTTTGTTTCTCCATAAAAAAAAACTGTCATCTTTTTGCAGTGGGAGACAGCTTGCTGAGATCTTTTTTCATTGCCTCAAAGGATATTGCCAATTCTCCACATAGAACCTTTTCCATCATAGAGACATTCATCAAGGAACTATCTGATGTGACCAGCATTTTGAAAGGACAACCAAGAATAGACAGGAGAATACGTGAGGTAAGGATTGCAGTTTGATGTTTGAATATCTTTGGTTGATATGTATTTGCAAGATTTCAACAATGACTTGCTGTGTATTTGGCATTTTTCTACTCATGACATATCTTCCACCATGTTACTCATTATTTGTTCATTCTGATTGAAACTGGTACTTGGTACTGGAAAATGGAAAGTAACAGTGAAAAAGCAGCAATATAATTTTTTAATGACCCTCTTTCACTGGAAAAAGTACATTATGGGATGTAGGTTCCTATGGGATCACTGTGACCCTGGACTAAATGTGATTGATATCTCTTTTTTATTACAAATCAGTGAATCGTGCCATCGACAATGTGTGGAATAAGAAGTATTTTGCTGTTCCAAACCTGCTTTTAGCTGAGAAAAATCATACAAGCCATTTGAGTGTCCTTCACCTCCAGAACTTGACCCTTTCCTTGGCATATGCTGGCAAAAATGTATGAAAGTAGAACATTAAATAAATCTGTGCCAGGGAAAGTGCTAATGAGATGCAGTTATTTCAGCATTTCCTACATGGCCTATTGCAGTGGTGCCCAACCCGTGGCCCACGTGCAAAAAGTGGCCCTTGAGATGCTTACAAATGGCCCGCGAGGTCCTAGCCCACAATAAATGCCCTCAGGTTTCCTTAAAATAGTCTCCTACAATACTAGTGACTGCATATGGCTCGCGATGGCTGTGGGAGTGAGCTATGTGGTCCCCTAGCCAAGAAGGTTGGAAACCACTGGCCTACTGCTTGCCTTTTATTAAATTATGGCTGAGTATATTCCATGGTTTTGTAACTGATCCCTTTAGGAATTTTAATTCTTGATTCATTTTGGGATAGCAAAGCTGATCACTTTGTAAAAGATTCAGCAATTTTCCCAGTTTTTATATTTCTATTCACTTGATTGCAAGACTCAACAAAGATTACAAATGTTCACCTTTTCCCCTTGCAACTGCTCTTTCTTAGTTGAAATCCTTCATCTTATGGACACGTTGTGCATCAGCCTCTTTAAAATTGATACAATGGTCTTTGACCTATCCTTACTGTGCATTTGTGATGAACTTGGTTTGAGCCATTATAGGCACATTGTATGCATTCCATATAAGATAAGGATGATCTTGATGTCTTCAACACTGCCATCAGATCAATTTTATTATTTTTCATTTTTGACATGAGGCTTAACACTCAGTGTGTCAATGAAGAAACAGAGTGATGAATGGAATAGCATGTGATGTGATGGTAATTCTTCTAAAAAGCAATCACTTTCCAGTCATTGTCAGTAGCCTGCTATTTTCTCAATTCCCATTCATGACAATTTGTCCACTGACTGGAATTATGTGGGGTTAAATATGATAACCAGAAGTATGCTGACATCAAGAGAAAATACGTTAACTTTTAAAATCTTTTATCAATTTTGTTGGGGGTGGCAATTGGGCTTGTCTACAGGCTTAAAATTATTTGTTTGGCTGATGGAGTTGAATTATTAGAAGATCCCCTTTTTCCTGGTCATCGCTCATCCTTATGCAAGATAATTCATTCTCTTAATTCAATGGCTATGACCTTAGCAGTGTAAGTACTACAAACTTTGTACAGTTATAAATGGACAGATGAAAATGCCAATATTTGAGATTAACAGTCAGATAATATGAGGGTCATCCCAAAAGTTCAAGAAAAAGTGTGACTATTTTCTTTGCATGTGATCCAGCAGCAACCATCTTATCATAGTGTTCATAATGATATCTCACAGTACTACCATATCAAATGATGGTGTAATTGCTCCTTCTTATTGGAAGGATATCACATTTTTAAGTATACCTATTTGGAAGATGATCTGGTCCAGCGAGGTGGGATTTGGTTTCTATGGAAACAGAAAAAGTCACAGGCCCAGGTGAGCTGCAAGAGGTTTTTGGGGACAGAGCTTTTGGCAAAAGTGCCATAAATAGGTGGGTGCATTGCTCTGAAGCAGAATGGGATATTGTGGATGATTCGCCAAGGTCGACCTGATGCTTGGAGCATGCTCCTTCTGTGAACCAGTGGGTTCAAGTGACCCCAGCAAACTGGTTTGCTGAAGGGGACTCAAGAAGCTGATAGAATGATGGCAGGAGTGTGTGCAGCTGCACAGGAAGTATATTGCTCGGAATAATGCTGCATTTGGTGTTTCGTACTTGATGTAGAATAAAATTTTCTAGAACTTTTAAGATAATCCTAGTAGTATACAACAAATGACTCATTTAGATCATCCATAGAACAGTTATGATTTTAAAAAATCAAAAAAGTTTATCAATTTCTGCAGACAGGAGTAATATTGAATAATATCACAATAATTGGCACAGCCATAATTCATCCATGATGCATATATTACATCCAGTTTATTTGTGCTCTGTGCTGTTGATATGTTTCACTTAAGTGGTATGCTTTTTTCTTTCCTTCTTCAAAGGTCCATGCCTCCTTCATCCAGGAACAGAAGACCTGGAGTCTCCTCTCCCTGCTTTTCTCTTTTCGTCAGAAGGAACAGGAACCAGTTGAAGACCTGAGAAAGGATGGCCAGTACATCAGTGATAGGGAGATTGCAGAGCACTTCCTTGCATCTCATCCTGAAATTGAGGAAGTGTGTACTATGCATATTTTTCTCTGCTCTGTTTTAAATTTATGAATATTCTGTCAGATATCAATTGCCAAATTCATAGACGTTTGTAGTGCTGATATTGATATCTATCATTACAAATTCATGGTATTAACTGGTTAGAAGTCCTAATTTTTTTATACTAATATGAGTCCAGCTAAAGAGGCAAATTTTTTGGGGGATGTTAATCCCCTCAGACCCAAGGAAAGTGAAAGCCATTGGATTTGGCATGTATGCATGCCAAATCCAATGATGGTCTGAAGAGGTAAATGGGTATCTTGTTATGGTAGCAGGAAAGTAATTAATTGCAATTAGGATTAACCGTTTAAGTGCCTACAATGATCACATCAATGCATGCCTTCTCTGCCTTAATTGCCAGCATTGATCTGATCAACATGTTGGTTTTGGTCAGAGAGTTTGTATATATTCTAATAGATGGTAGTGACAACTGGCCTGTGAGGTAGAGGAAAGTTTGTCCTGACAGCTGGCATCTTCCATAGGACTTAATATAATTATTTGAAGAAAATAAGTTAAATGACCTTGGCACTCAAAGGATAGGCTCCTCACTGGTTGTATAATGATGAATCCAATTGTGACCCCAAGTGATCCAATTGTGTTTTTTAAAATGAAAGCATGCATGCTGAGTGTGTATTCACATTGTAAGAAAGTTCTTCATAAAAACCATGTACTTAACTAGGTGTATCATGTGTGCAGGAGTCTATCCCTCAATGTGTATAATTATTCTATACAGAACATAAATGCTGCCCTGTTATGTTTAATGTATGAATAATCCTTACTTGGATCATATGCTCCAACCATATATGCCTATGTATATGTGCATGCATATTTCAATACATGATAAATATATGAAATTATAAGGCACAGATAATTACATGTGCTACCATAAATGACCTTTCCATATGGGTCCATAAGATGTATTCCTTTGTTTCCTTAATAATCACTTCTTATATCATTCTTTGTTATTGACTAATTACAAGATAATTGGAGAGCTACTTTATGACTGCATTTAAGTCATTTACATTTGTTATACTGGCATGAGGGACAAACATTCATTGAAGATGTGAGGAGTTTATTGGCTATAGAAGGCTGAGTTTGTATTTGAAAAGGAATACTTACTTGGGTACTGATTTGAGAGTTGCTTGGAAAGTTTTGAGATAGTGAAGTTTGATGATTAAAGATGACCTCTTGGATAGATGAGAGGCATGTTTGAACAAATAATACAACTCTGAAAAGCTTTCTTTTTGCACAGTTTTTTTCCATCAGTGATAGGAGGCATTCAAAGTTGACTTCCCAACCATGGCTCTGAATTCATATCAAGTTGACTTCTGTACCTAGGCTTTCTGCAATTTTAGGTGGGGGTAGAAGAGTATCAGACTCTTGTCTCCTTTCTGACTGCTATTGGTGAATGTGCCCTTTCCAGAGCCAATGTATTTATCTGATTCATCAAATACAAAAGGAGAGAAAGCAATATCAAAGATGACCCTGGCAGGCCACTGACACAGGAGAATGGTGACCGTGTGACTGTCATGTTCATTATCCTTGAGGACTATATACCATGATAAAAGCTGAACTTGGGATTTAATCAAAGAATATCACTGTACCACTAGCATTTCAATGCTAGGAGAAATCCATGGCACTGAGGCTTAGGAGTGGTCTTGACATGGGTTTGAAGCCATTTGGGACAGCCAACTTTGAAAACTGTTTCCTGTCATTGACACTAAATTGCTGATGCTACAAGCAGGCTTTTTGAGACTTTACATTCTCTAAAACACGTTTCATGTCCTCAGGTGGTGGCTTGTTTGAGTTACTTACCATCACATGTCTTGGAAGGTTGATAGCGATTATGTTATTGATGCATCCCCCTGTGAAATCCTGACCACCTTTGCCTTTTTATGTCTCTACAGCAACATCTCCTGCTTCGGTGGTTAGAAAGCAATGCCAAGGATGACTATCAGGGATTCTACAAGAACATGAAGGTGTACTTCAGTGCCACAGGTAAGTCCTTCCTATCATTGAAATGATGCGTGACTTCACTTTTCATGTGTAATTCATGTTCTGCCGATATATGAATTTTACAGCTGAACCACCTGACCACAAAAGGATTCCATTGAGTCAAAAAGATAAACCTCAACTTATGCACAGCCTTGATCCTGTGAGTACTCTCATCTCATGAAGTTAGTGCTATAAACTAGATCAGGACAGATGTTAAGTAGTCTTATCAAAGCCATGGACCTTATTTCAATCAAGCATTTGCCTGTACTCAATTGTTTGCAAATGTGTGCCATGTATGACATGGGTTGGGAAAGGAAAGTCACAGAATTTAATGCCTTGTGAGTGGTATTCCTTATGATAATCAACTTAGTTGTTACTTTTCAGCAAGCCTCCTTCTCTTAAAAATGAAATGAGCCATACAGAAACTTCCCCTTAGTAGACATCTTGAAGCATTCTTTTGTATAACAGAAATACATCAAATTAAGCGCTTTCATTATACTTTCTGTCTGACAGGCTGATTTTGAGCAGTTCACCCGGACTCTGTTTGTTTTGATTCGATGTGGCCTGATTGAAGAAGCAAAAGACATGTGTCTGGATGTAGGTGACCCAGTTCGTGCTGTGAACTTAGAAGGTTGGAAATATCACCATGATGGAAGATATCGTGATGAAAATTCCACTGACATTGAGGGCAATCCTATGAGGTTGGTCTTCATCTGTTTGTCTAACTATCTTATGCATAAAGGTATTTTCATAGTCAGGCGAAACATGTGGCATTTAGACTTCCATGTCAACTGAGGTTTTGATAAGATTATGGAATTTGTTTCATTAATTTTGTCAGCCAGTCACATATTTTTTGGTCTCTAAATCTGTTAGCTTTTATGCAAGTCTTCTAGCTCAATTATAATGCTGTTCTCCACAGAGACTTCTTTATTGAGCTGTGCTTAGCAGCAAGCAAAGAGCGAGCTATGCCTTTGTATGAGAGGGCTGTGAATGCATCATTCTGTGGCAACCTGGATGTTTTGCTGGAGGTGAGCAAGACATGGGAGGATGCCCTCTGGTCTTACCTCAAGACAGCCATCCTCAGCCGCATCGAGATGGAAGTGCGGAATCTGAGCTGCAGCCTTAGGCCACTTCTTCCCTTGCCTCCTGAACTTCGAGAGACAAGGTAAGTTATCATGTAGACTTAATGTGAGCCAATGTAATTTGAAGGAAGAGTGGCATATGTCATTGAGTCAGGGGGCATATTCACAAGGGGTCATCTAATTTTTAAGGTTGGTTATTATGATTTTGAAGTAAGCCAATTTATCAATGACTTCGCTGAGGAATTGATTCCAGCTATATTCAATACCCCTTCACCATTGCTAATGAAAGTCAATGCAAATGCTAGGTCTGTATTCATATGTGCTCCTCTCATTGCTTCATTTCATGATGACAAGTGACAAAAATATTTGTAATGCTCAGTGACCAGCCATGAGAATAAAAAAAATGGAAATAAGAGTAACACCTGGACAAGGATGTTGGTAAGAAGTTTGCATGAAGTGATGGCAATAGAAAAGCTATTTTCCATTTCTTAACATACTTGAATGTGACATGTATTTTCACAGGATTCTCTCCATTTTCTTAACATACTTGAATGTGACATGTATTTTCACAGGATTCTCTCCATTTTCAGGAGCCTGCATTAGACCCATATTGTGTTTTTGCATAGACCGATTCATTTCCGAGTCCAATTTAAATTTCATGCAAATTGATTCCTCCAAAGTAAGGCTATGTATGAACTTTAAGAGTGACTACACTCCACCTGCCTTATCTTCCAGTGTAGAGTAGAAAATTCGAGGGACCTTATAATGAACTCTCTGCATTTATACCTGTTGCTTGTCATCATTTAATTGAAAAAAAAATCATGAAAATCATATGGTAATCTATGACCACCTTGAAATATAATTTCAATGGAAGCTTTGTAAGTGGTCTTCATGATATCTAACCACAGCATGAAGCTGCTTTCAAAACTCCACTCTCAGAATGGGCTTCTTTCTGAATCCTGTATCCAGTGTCAATATTTTCCTTTGAGTAATCGTCAAAGCATAACGAATTCAAGTGAAAGTTCAAAATTTTGGAATTTTTCATGTAAGTCGTGCAAATTTTGTGAAAATAGTTGAAGAGCAAAGATTTATTGGGTAATAGTTGGGAGTCCTTTTTTGTACCTTAACCTGTACAAGCTGCTAAATATATATCCTACAAATCTCATTACTGCATTGCTCCATGTTGCCCACAAAACCTGAGCAACATTTGTGTTGTATGTACCACATTTCTGGGATTGAAGTCTCCTTCTTCCTTCTTTGGTATAGGTTAGATTTGAAGAACATATTCCTTGCCATTGAGTCTTCACCAGCCCATGACATTTCGGTTGAGGCAAAGCATTTCATGAGGCAACTGCAGAAGTCCATGATCCTTAACGACCCAGATGTTCTTCTGGACACCCTGCGTGCAGCAGTTCATGGTGCATCTCCATCCATCCAGCTTTTGAGATTCGCTACCCACACACTCTTATGTCTGAAAGCATTGGGTCAGATACAATTCAATGATCAACGCCTGATTGATGTCTTGGAAGCATATGTCAAAGTGAGTCTTACCTCCTTCTTTCTTCATTGCATGGACCAAGAATGAGTGAATTCCAAAGCCAGAATTTTCCATCTTGTGTAATTAGGTGGCTAACATTTTCATGTGTGAACTGGAAGCCCTACTTAGAGGAAAATCTTGAAAAATCATACAATATCAGTGTAAATATATGATTTAGTAGAATCTGTATATTCTTGTCATTTGCATGCAGAAACAATAATGGGAAAATTCTCAGTTTTGAGTTATGATTGAAGTTGGAGTTTTCATGTTAGGAGACTTATTGAGATGACAGTAGTTTTATATCATGCATTTTGACAAATGAGTTTTGACGTTTGCAAAAGCCAAAGTGAAAATGAGTCTAAGATGTAGGCATTCAGATGTGACTTGAATCATCTATGGAAAGGTTGGCGACTCCTATGTATTTTTTAAATTCAAATCCAATCTATTCATGTTGTGCCTATACTTTCACATATGAATTCACATAATGGCATGAGCTTGAAATCTGATGGAATTGAAATGATGTAGGCACTGATTGAGGAAGGGAAGTTTATGATGGTTCCCTGGTACCTGACACACCTTCCTTCAGTAGAACTCCGCTCCCATTGGTTGGCTCTCCTCCTCCAACATACTTCTGATCCCAAGATCAGAGAAGAGTGCATCAATCTTGCCAAAGAGGAAGGCCTTGACATCCAGGAAGCCTCTGTCATGGCAGTCCAAAGTATCAGGTCAGTGCTTTGCTGGTTTTTGCCATTGAATTTTACACCCCACTGTCATCTATACTGCTCTAGCTGCTAGATCTTGTGGGCCTCTTGAAGCTAACCCTTGAGGGAAACCTTCCAAATTGATTACCTATGTAGCCCTCCCTTGCACAGATTGTCTCAAGTGGTTGCAGGTCAAGACTTGATGCATAACATGGTTGTTAAACGTGCATTAAATGTCCCATTGTTTAGAGTCAAGGTTTCCAAGCCTGAGGAGCTGGCATCAAGGGCTGTGACAGAAAGTGACAAGGAGAAAGTGGAATCTCTGAATCTCCTACTATATGAAGATAGCCAGAGGGCAGATGCCTTGAGGGAAGGGAATGCCCTTACTAGAGGATTTCTCCTCGTGCAGAAGATGCAGGCTGTACGCCTTCTTCTCCAGCAAGTGAGTCTACCTATGTCTCTCAGCCCAACATTATGTGTTCAGCATATGCATTTGCAGGCTCTCATAGGCCTTGAAAACTGTGAAGGGTCAGGGAACTGGATATTGGAATTACCCAATGAATGTCTTGGGTTCTTGGACATTCCCTTTGTGTCCAGCACTCTAGGTTCACCTCTTCTTGACATGGCTTAGCTGTCCACACCAAGCCTTGTTGCAAAAATTCATGGGTGTAACTATAGGGAAAGTAGACTTAAAATTTATCTTTGTTTTAGGACTTTTGGTACTGTGTGGGCTATGCTAAGATGATTATGAATTATGAAGAAAGCTTCTTATAGCATTCACTTTTAATAAAGAATTTCATTTTTCTCAGTTTTATGGCCCTGAAATAAAAAGTTACTTATTTGGTCTGGAATCATATTACATGATCATCAGCAAAATGAATCTATAATCTCAGTTGATTGTAATAGATCATTGGAAGGAGGGTGAAAAGTGAGATGGTGGATTGGAAAAAATTATGATAATTATATCTATAAAAACTTACTTTTTCATTGAAATATCAATGTTTTTTGAATCATGTATCTTTACTCATGCCAAAAAATTCATTCAGAGGGTGCCAGCCTCTGTTAACAGGTTTTCAGGGAAGGAAAGTGAAAGTACTTAAAAGAGGATGCAGAGTTCTATCAAAAGGCTTCTTGTTTGGGTGATCCTCACTTCTCCTTGTTAAACATGCCAGATACACAGCCAAGAGGAAATGCAACTGCTCAAAGCAGTTGCACATTGTGTGGAACTCCATATCAAAATCTAAGGGAGTTGCAAGATGTTATTGGAGCTCTTTATGGGAGCCCCAATATGAATATTAATGCTAAGCCTGCGTGCTTTTTTTTAATGTACAACAGGTGCCCTGGTGTCTTCTAACCTGTATGTTTGCCAATTTGCGAAATTCCTGTCAGCTCTCAATTGATTGCTGCACCAATCTCCTATGATTATCATGTTCAGTCATCTCTTTAGCTTGTGTATTCAAGCTGAGCATGCCTAACAGTCTTTTCATTCCTCAGATCCCAGATAATTCCTTGGAACTAGTGAAGTCTCAGTGGCTGTGGCATACTTTTGAAGGACAAGGAAGTCAAGTTCCAGATAATATTGCTGTTGTCCTCTTAGAGCATGAGGACTACAAAGCCCTTGTGGTAAGTTGCCACCTCATTTGTTCACTCTTGTTCAGGTGTAATAACTAGAGATGCAACGATATTTTATCGGTTATCGGTATCGGCCGATATTAGGTGAATTGCTATATAGCCGGATTTTGCTATATACTGGACGGCTATTGGCTATAACTTTAATGTGGACTTCATACGGTTTGCGATTCATACATTTCGCTTACTACTTATAAAAGTGGAAAAAGGGTAATCTGTTGATTTCACTTGACTCGAACACACGTTCATGGGACGTTCCTCATGCATGAGTGTCAAAGTCAAGTGAAAACACTGCAGAAGGTTGAAAATGCCTAAATGACCCGTAAAAAGAAGTATTAGGCTGCTGAAAATATAAGCATTTTCCCCCTTTGCATTGGGATTCCCCTGGGATTCGACCTTCACTGCCACGGTTCCTCAACGTCCCACATCTAGAGATAGGAGCGCTCTGTGCTTGGGTACTCCCCAAGCACGCTGGCGCTTGAACTAGGAAATATGCACTTGACTTGGCTAGGTTCGAGCCCAGGCCACCGTGTCACGGGACATAAGCTCATTACCCAGTCACACGGGAAAGAGATGAGAAGCGTCATCTACTTAACTCGGCCTAATGCCACTACCATAGCCTACTCCGTACTTTCTGCGAAAATAGACATCGCTCATGTTAGCGCGAAGAACCCAGGCCTAGATGGATCCCAAAACCTTGGTACAAAAATCACTAGACTATAATCTGATTTCAACTCTTTCGTGCCCAGAGGTTCCATTCGGAACCACCGATTTTCAGAAATGTTATCATCTTTATATTCATGTTAGGACCGTGCCGATGGCCACATTTGACCGGTAGACTGATGACGCATTTTGAACTCGTACCCATTGACCGGAGCCGGAGCTGATTATGATTTATACTCTATAGATTGCGAAAGTAACATGAAATCGCATACGAATTCAAATAGGCCTACTTGGAAGCCTTATGATACTAATCAATGAGTCTCCTGAAAACGATAGATTCTGTCTGTCTGCGTCCGTCATGGTTACCTATTGCTAATATGAGGGCTTAACGGCACTACTCGCTAATGCACAGCAAAAAAGGAGATGCAATTATTTCACGGTCTTTACGGCTATTTTCCCCCACCAGTTCCTACAATCGAGCTGAAATACAATAAGTCCTCGATTTACGTCGTGGATGTGTTCCCGGAAAACGACGTAAAACGAAACCTATTATCCCATGGACTAAATTATATACAGGAAGTCCTCGATTTACGACGTCATATCGGAACGACGCAACGTATATGTTAGCAACGTTATATCGAAACGACGTAAATCGAGGACTCTTCGCATAACCTGATCTATACTTTTTTCTGGGATAGGTCGGCAGGGAAGGATTTCAGCGAGACAGGCGGTCCGGCAACAAACCGCGCTCACACTCATGTAGTTTTTTTTTGCATTTTGCATTCTTTCAGGCTTCGGCATGGACAGCTTCCAACCTTACCGTAGCCATGGCGTCAATGGTGCAACACCAGAGGCGAATCTCTGTGGTTGTCAATACGTCGGTGCAGCCCTAATTTATCAAAAATATTCATAATGTCATAATTTATATCTGAATATTTATAATATAATGCATTACATAAATATATTTGTAGATAAAAACTTCTGCAATATAATAAAATTGATTGATTGCTTAGAAATTTTCCTGAAAAGCAGTTATGTTCACATTCCATCTTCATGGAAAATTACCTGATGTGTTAATAATTTGTCAGTCATGTCTGTCTGGGTGTCCATTAGAGGTATGAAGGAGGGAACTTTGACATTCTTGACATTTTCCGAACTGAGTACTACTTTGAGAAGAAAAAAGAATTGCTATTCCACCTTATTGTAAGTTCTAGGATGGAACATAGGAAATAAAATGCCTGATGCAAATCCAATGTAATATTTAAAAAATCCACATTGAGTAGCATGGCTTCAGCATGAAGAAAACATTTCTTCTCACTATTGGAGAAATGGCAAAAGCATGAGGTGCACCACTGATGCACCTCAAGCTTTCCCCATCAGACCTGGCCCCAAATAAAACTTAAAAGTGGAGGATTTAATGCCTGAGAGTGGATTTTTGAACAGAGAGCAATCTGATAATGCAGCTTTATTCTGGGGAAAACACATATTTCCTGGAAATAAAGCTGCATTATCAGATAGTTTACTGTTCAAAATCTACCCTGAATGTGCAAATATAAATGTATATATAGATATCGGTATCGGTATCGGTTCTTTTCCAATATCGGAATTATCGGTATATCGGATATCGGCCAAAATTCAATATCGTTGCATCTCTATTTTAAACCCTTTCTGGAGTTATATGTATCTAAAGTTACTTCTAATGTTGTATTAGGATCAAAGTTAAAGGCAATGTGGAGCCAAGGAAAGTATGTTGCTTCTGCTCACTTTCCTTGTTATCATATTTTCTTTCTGTTGTGTTGCCTCTTTTGATGATAACAAAGTGAGAAATAATGTAACCAATGATTTATGCGATAGTAGAGTGGATGCTTCATCTATGCCAACTAGAAGGCACATATTTTATGCTTGGATTACAGCGTTTTTTATATCCTCAGGAAAGTCATGTTAGCTTTAAGGTTTTCTTTATTTTTGAAGGTGGTTTTATGAAGATTTGCTCTGAAATGCAGTGTATGTCCAACTGGAAGTATTTCTCTTCCTCTTATCATATGTTGCGACTGGGTAGGAAGCAGGCAAAAGCCTAGTTAAATCCCTGTTTCTATGGACTTGGTCTTTGAAAGATGCTAAGTTTCTCTGCAACTCTTTTATTTTGTTTTCCTTCTCTCATTTTGATAGGTAGTCATGGAACACATGTGGCAACTATAGCTGCAGGACACTTCCCCAATGAGCCAGAAAAGGATGGCATTGCACCTGGAGCACAGATTGTGTCTGTGACTATTGGTGAGTTTATTTTCTAGTGTCTTTGTTGTGTGAGTTTCTTTTCATCAATTCATATCTTATATGGAATATATGCAATCAACAGCAGTATCAGTTGCATTAAGATGCATGATAGTGATGTATGATGCAGTGCAGAGGACAATGCTTGAGATGAATCCTCGTTCAGAGATGGCTAACTAGTATACCATGGTTGCAAAGCCATATAACATATGAAAATAATGAAAAAAAATTTACTCCTAGGAAAAGTTTTTATTTATTTAAAGAACATGTAGGCATTTTTTCAAGTTTATTTTCTGGGTTCTGAAGTGTCATATGTCTTGATGCATCCAGGCATTTTGACGCATTTCAAGTGAACTGATTTGATAGTGGTTGAATTGCATGACTGAGAGCACTTCATTTTCATTTTGTTTTGTAGGAGATGGTCGTCTTGGTTCCATGGAAACTGGAGCTGCCATCGTTCGAGCCATGCTTCGGGTCATGGAGCATTACAAATACAAAGTTGATGTCATCAACATGAGTTATGGAGAGCATACTCACTTTGCACATTCAGGGTAAGTTTTTGTGTGGCACTTGATTTTATTTTCCATTTCTCATTCCCTCCTCCCACTGTAGCAGGGGTGTTTTGAGCACTCGTGATGTCATGGCTAAGATCTGAATCCGATCATTGTCCAAACTTGATATTTTACCTGGGAAATGCAAAAGAGGGTAAAGGGACCTGAGGCCCTTAGAAAGGATGAAGGAAAGGATGGATGTGATCTGGGAGTGTGGAATGCTCTGATTCTCCTAGAGTACCTGTTTATTTAGTACTGGACCTATTTGTGTCTGAAGTATCTGAGTACCTGAGAGTATATTCATACCAATGCTAAGGGGGTGGATCAGGTGGAAATAAAAAAATGAATCCCTTCATCGTTGCACCAAGATGAACCAGTTGGTTCTTTCATTTTAGGAGGATTGGAGAGCTGGTGAAGGATGTGGTGTACAAGGAAGGGGTCCTTTGGGTTTCTTCTGCCGGGAACCATGGTCCAGCTCTTGGGACAGTGGGAGCACCCCCTGATCTCTGTACTTCTGCCATCATAGGTGGGCATTTTTTTTGCTGCATCATTCTGATTTTAATGAGTGTTTGATGTATTAAGTTTCCAGCAGAGGTTATGTACTCAGTACTTTCCTAACGAAGTTCCTTATTTCCATGTTGACTATACATTTAAATTATGGTGGCCATGATCAGTTAAATGACTACTAAGAATGGGATTGAATGCACCTACTAATCCCTTATGGCCTAATTTGAGGACTACAGTAAGTTCTTAAGAATTGTCAGCATATGACAGGAGCATTGCAGGCAGTGTATGTGCGTTCAAAGCATCATAAATTATCTTTTATTTAAAAAAAATATTTATGCATGGGAAAGTCAGAGGGTATAGTAGATTATTGTTTGGAAAATTTTACTGGTAAGGCCAGATGCATTCATTTATTTGCCTGGGGAAGACAGAGCATTGGAACATTTTATTTACACTTTATGTTGTGCTAAGTTCTTTCTGATTTTTGGTATCTCAAGGATGGTCCAGCTCTGTTAGATAGGGCTGATGGTTTTCCATGATGCATTCGTTGGGGGAAATTTTCTTTAGATAATTCCATACTTTGTAGGAGAGGAATTTATTTGCAGAGTTATTAGTGTTTTTGTGCTTTGTTTTTCAGGTGTGGGTGCCTTTGTTTTTCCGGAGATGATGGTTGCAGGGTATTCCCTCAGGGAAAAAACTGGTGAAATGCCCTATACATGGAGTTCAAGAGGTAAATTTCTCATTAAAAGCTAGCCTTTTTCCTTGATGCTGGGCATCCTGATTTTGGCTGGCAAGCCTATTCTATAGACTATTGTGAAGCAACTCTGAAATATACTCCTAGAGGGAACTGAAGAAGAAATATTGGATTGCTCGTGATTCAGCTAATTTATATCTTCATGGCTAATTTTACTCCTTAGACCATCTAGATCAGAGCACTAACCATTTTTATTGTATCCTTAACCCTTTCACTGCCAAAAGTTGTTTTAAGGAGACCTGATCATGTGGCTGCTTGGTAGTTAAATGGTTAGATTTTTATACCCTGTTAGAAAAAAACTCTTTTTGCTCTAATATGGGATTCGTTTCTCCAGAGCGCAGTCTGTTTTGAGTGTTTATGATCTGCTCCTACTTAGATGGGAAAAAAATAATGTCGTCAGTGTTTTCTGTTTCTCAGCTGTCAGTTTAACTGCTTGAATGCAATCATTGTAGGATTTAAATATAACTCCTAACAGTTATGTTTGATAGTTGTTTGCTGACTTTCACCCATGCCATGTTCTGGCTTTGGTGCCCTCTCCTCAGCACATTTCAAGATGTGCCAGTGTTTTTTGCCATTCTGAACTGTTTAAATGACTGGCTGCTCTGTGTTAAAAAAGGTTAATAAAGGGGTGAAATCACATTACACTCAGTAGAAGTGTCTGTGAAGTGTGTCACCTTTTCCCTATTGAACACATATAACCTGTTAAGACTCCCTGTAGCACATGTTTCACTCAACAAGATGGCCCTCCCATCTATGAGTTCCATGGGGTTGTAATATGGAGGTGAACATCAATAACATAACAATTCATGTGTATCTTTAACCCTTTGCTGTTCATTTTTTTTTAGCACTATGACCAATGGCCTACCCAGTGTGACAAAGGACTGCAAAGGGTTAAAAAATGCATGTGTGAGAGGGGAACATAAAGAAACTGTGTTTTTTTTTTGTTGAAATTCCTTTTTCCTGTACCAACTAAGCTGTGTTGATTTATTCTCACATGATGGATTTAGTCTAGTCTCTATTGCACAGATTTTTTTGTTCTTGTTTTAATGTGGCCAGCCTTATTCCTGTATATTTTTTCTATGGTTTAGGAGGCTTAGGAGCCTTCCCATCTTCTAGAGAGGAAGGCTCCTAAGCTCTTCTTCATCTTAGTGATCCCATTGAGCGATCTCATTGTTGTTTCTTCTTACCAAATGTATATATGCTTGATGAAACTTGGTATTTAGTCAGTGCATAATGATGTAAGGGCTTTGCAACCCCTTGCTAAATTGTTAATGACCACAAAGTATCCCTGGGGTCACACCCTGGGATCACAAAAACGTCACTTTCCTATTTGGCTTCAGGATTGAGACCAGATTCTGAATACTGATGCCAAATTGTCATCTGAAGGATTCAGTACCGCCTACAAGGCAGTTTCTTCTGTCCCTTACAGGTCCAACCTTTGATGGAGCCAGAGGAGTGACAATTTGTGCCCCAGGGGGAGCTATTGCATCTGTGCCAAATTTCATGTTGAAGGGATCCCAGCTGATGAATGGCACGAGTATGGCCGCACCACATGCGGCTGGAGTCTTTTGTGAGTTCAAATTGTCAATAAGTCATGATGATGTAATGATGATGATGGGTTGTCTCTGTGTATTTTCTGTGTGCATTTTGCATTAATATATTATTTCCCTTCTGATATGCTGCACTGCTGGCAAAATATGGTATATACTGCTTTAGCTTAAAGGATGTATCGTACTGGCATTTGATTGAGACACAAACTGTCTCAGTTATAATGGAACCAGTCTTTGATTTCCCTCAGGCATCATTGTCAAGATTGATCTTATATTTTTAGTTTGGTCTTTCTGCTGTTTTGCATCTCATTTTGCTTATTGTATCTCCATTTCATCAGCCACTCAGTTACACATTTACCTGAATTTCAGAAGTCATGGAGTCATTCACGGGAACTCTTGGGATTCTTTGTATCTTTCCACGTTCTAGTAGATTCCCTTGAATGCTCTGATTCTCCTAGAGTACCTGTTTATTTAGTACTGGACCTATTTGTGTCTGAAGTATCTGAGTACCTGAGAGTATATTCATACCAATGCTAAGGGGGTGGATCAGGTGGAAATAAAAAAAGTGAATCCCTTCATAGTTGCACCAAGGTGAACCAGTTGGTTCTTTCATTTTAGGAGGATTGGAGAGCTGGTGAAGGATGTTGTGTACAAGGAAGGGGTCCTTTGGGTTTCTTCCGCCGGGAACCATGGTCCAGCTCTTGGGACAGTGGGAGCACCCCCTGATCTCTGTACTTCTGCCATCATTGGTAGGTATTTTTTTTGCTGCATCATTCTGATTTTAATGAGTGATATATTAAATTTCCAGCAGAGGTTATGTACTCAGTACTTTCTTAACGAAGTTCCTTATTTCCATGTTGACTATACATTTAAATTATGGTGGCCATGATCAGTTAAATGACTACTAAGAATGGGATTGAATGCACCTACTAATCCCTTATGGCCTAATTTGAGGACTACAGTAAGTTCTTCAGAATTGTCAGCATATGACAGGAGCATTGCAGGCAGTGTATGTGCGTTCAAAGCATCATAAATTATATTTTATTTTAAAAAAATATTTATGCATGGGAAAGTCAGAGGGTATAGTAGATAATTGTTTGGAAAATTTTACTGGTAAGGCCAGATGCATTCATTTTTTTGCCTGGGGAAGACAGAGCATTGGAACATTTTATTTACACTTTATGTTGTGCTAAGTTCTTTCTGATTTTTGGTATCTCAAGGATGGTCCAGCTCTGTTAGATAGGGCTGATGGTTTTTCATGATGCATTCGTTGGGGGAAATTTTCTTTAGATAATTCCATACTTTGTAGGAGGAGGAATTTATTTGCAGAGTTATTAGTTAAAAACACGAAACAAAAAGTCCACACCCACGGAAACAAAAAGGCCTCTACTACCAACGTCCCATAAGGGAGTCCCTTTTTTGACCACTTTACGGGATATGTACCTCAAGTTCTCCATTTAAAGAGTACAGTCATTAGCACTTTTTTCCCCCATGGATATGGAGTATATATATTTGCTATATATGGTATTTATGTAGCTTCAACCTTTGCTGTAAGTTGTATTGAAACTGCGCAAGAAAATGAGTATGCCATGACTTGGTATACCCTCAGGCTAAATCTATCATAGCGAGGAGCTATTTCTGAGAGAATTCTTTTCGATCGGAAAAAGGAACTACGACCCGTAGGACTAAAACCGACCGTTCGGATAAGATATCTGATAACACTTCGTTGAGACTTTATATGAGGATCTCCCTTGACTTCTTCTTTATAACCTAACGATGTAATTCAGCTAATTTATATCTTCATGGCTAATTTTACTCCTTAGACCATCTGGATCAGAGCACCAACCATTTTTATTGTATCCTTAACCCTTTCACTGCCAAAAGTTGTTTTAAGGAGACCTGATCATATGCTTATCATAGGCTGCTTGGTAGTTAAATGGTTAGGTTTTTATACCCTGTTGGAAAAAAAACTCTTTTTGCTCTAATATGGGATTCGTTTCTCCAGAGCGCAGTCTATTTTGAGTGTTTATGATCTGCTCCTACTTAGATGGGAAAAAAATCATGTTGTCAGTGTTTTCTGTTTCTCAGCTGCCAGTTTAACTGCTTGAATGAAATCATTGTAGGATTTAAATATAACTCCCAACAGTTATGTTTGATAGTTGTTTGCTGACTTTCACCCATGCCATGTTCTGGCTTTGGTGCCCTCTCCTCAGCACATTTCAAGATGTGCCAGTGTTTTCTGCCATTCTGAACTGTTTAAATGACTGGCTGCTCTGTGTTAAAAAAGGTTAATAAAGGGGTGAAATCACATTACACTCAGTAGAAGTGTCTGTGAAGTGTGTCACCTTTTCCCTATTGAACACATATAACCTGTTAAGACTCCCTGTAGCACATGTTTCACTCAAGAAGATGGTCCTCCCATCTATGAGTTCCATGGGGTTGTAATATGGAGGTGAACATCAATAACATAACAATTCATGCGTATCTTTAACCCTTTGCTGCTCATTTTTTTTTAGCACTATGACCAATGGCCTACCCAGTGTGACAAAGGACTGCAAAGGGTTAAAAAATGCATGTGTGAGAGGGGAACATAAAGAAACTGTGTATTTTTTTTTTTGAAATTCCTTTTTCCTGTACCAACTAAGCTCTGTTGATTTATTCTCACATGATGGATTTATTCTCTAGTCTCTATTGCACAGACTTTTTTGTTCTTGTTTTAATGTGGCCAGCCTTATTCCTGTATATTTTTCCTATGGTTTAGGAGGCTTAGGAGCCTTCCCATCTTCTAGAGAGGAAGGCTCCTAAGCTCTTCTTCATCTTGGTGATCCCATTGAGCGATCTCATTGTTGTTTCTTCTTACCAAACGTATATATGCTTGATGAAACCTGGTATTTAGTCAGTGCATAATGATGTAGGGGCTTTGCAACCCCTTCCTAAATTGTTAAGGACCACAAAGTATCCCTGGGGTCACACCCTGGGATCACAAAAACATCACTTTCCTATTTGGCTTCAGGATTGAGACCAGATTCTGAATACTGATGCCAACTTGCCAGCTGAAGGATTCAGTATCGCCTACAAGGCAGTTTCTTCTGTCCCTTACAGGTCCAACCTTTGATGGAGCCAGAGGAGTGACAATTTGTGCCCCAGGGGGAGCTATTGCATCTGTGCCAAATTTCATGTTGAAGGGATCCCAGCTGATGAATGGCACAAGTATGGCCGCACCACATGCGGCTGGAGTCTTTTGTGAGTTCAAATTGTCAATAACTCATGATGATGTAAAGATGATGATGGGTTGTCTCTGTGTATTTTCTGTGTGCATTTTGCATTAATATATTATTTCCCTTCTGATATGCTGCACTGCTGGCAAGAAATGGTATATACTGCTTTAGCTTAAAGGATGTATCATACTGGCATTTGATTGAGACACAAACTGTCTCAGTTATAATGGAACCAGTCTTTGATTTCCCTCAGGCATCATTGTCAAGATTGATCTTATATTTTTAGTTTGGTCTTTCTGCTATTTTGCATCTCACAAACGAATAACATAGAGGTAAAGTAGTCGGTGAGTCAATGTGTAAATGGACTTAAAGTCTTCAGTACCTCAGTAAGTGCCCTTGAGAACCCTAAGAAACATAGAAAGGTGCAAGATCATCTAAGGGACTTCCAGAAAATGGGAGCTCTGGGTATGCCATTCAAGGCCATGCATGTATGCATGCTAGTGCTTGTTTGTGAGTTGTGTTGTTCTCAGTACAATGCCGCTGCCTGCTACCTCTCCTTGGAACATCTAATTTTATTGACTCTCAGCACAAGTACAGCAAAGACACTTGTGTAGTTGGGCCAAAACTCTCAGCAGATGTCATTAGAGTGAAGTCATAATTATTTAATCTTAACTTTACAAGCTGTCAGCTGTTTCACAATGTATGAAATTGTATAGACTTTACCAATTTTTGGGAAGAACTTGGAAGTTGAGTATAAAAGTTTTTCAATTAGATAATAAATGAAAGTTGATTGGTTTGGCTTACTATTGACACTAGGGAAAGGATAACTGAATATTGCAATTGCTTGGTCATTGTATTAAAGATTAGCAAGGTGAGGCAGGTAGGAGCCTGGAACTGATGCACATTTACATGGCCTGGCATGCGTGTGAGTGCGACACATGCAGTTGTGATGTTAGCCATTTATTAGTTTAACCACTCTGCCAATAGGTATTTGGTGCTGGATGCATGCTATCAATGGTATACTCATTGCTTATCTGATGAGAGATAGATAGAATCATCATGCTGGTGATGCTAAGAAAGTTTCATGTTGCTGATGTCACTGGAAGGCAATGTTTATTATTCCAGGTCTCTTGATATCAGCCATGAAGCAGAACAATTATCCATATTCCCGCTGCTCGGACGCATCTAGCCGCCTCTTGTGCCGGGACATGAAGGTTTTAGTACTTCGGAAACGGGTCCCAAAACCCGAGTAAGTCCAGTCTTACCAAGTTAAGTAACTACTTGTAAAAGTTATGTACTGAGCAGTGGCGGCTTGTGATATTTAGCGCTAGTGGTTCATCTATGGAGAGGGGGTAGGCAGCGACCTACTCTGCCTACCTCCTCTCCATAGACGAACCACTAGCGCTAAATATCATGAGCCGCCACTGCATTTGAGAAATTTTTGACCCAAGGACTTTCTTGATGCAATTTGCATAAAATAATTAGTGATGAATTGGACCAGAGGCCAAAACAACCCCAGATTCACAAGTTGGAATACGGCCACAAGTATTTGGGTTTGAATGTCCTTGTTCCAAAGCATCAGTGAATGTGGGTCAATTCCAGATCAAAATGTCAAAATTCAAATCTGATTTCTATAAGTTAAGTCCACCTCAGGTGACTAATACTTGAGGGTGAAGTGAAGAGAGAAAAGGCATCCTAAATGCTGGTGAAATCTTGAATAAGTGAGGGGAGGTGGGAGGACATCCCATTGTCATTTAGTTAGTATCAGGCATTTGGTAATCCCTGAGTGATGACTATTTTTAGTTATCAAAATATTGAAGTATTATTGAGTGGCAGTTGAATGTTATCTTTGGACTTTTTTGCACAGTCATACAACTGCAGTATATTTCTTAGCATCTGTGTATAATGTTCAAAAATTTTCAGACTGTGATGGGAGGGAACTTGACCATGTGTCGTGAGATTGGTTGATGACAAAGGGGAGATGCAGAATGTTCTCTCTCTCGGGTGTCTCTCTGCTTGAGATGGAGTGTGACTTCATGTGGGGAAAGTTTGTCTGGCAATCAGAAAAAGTAAAGGCTTTTGGGAAATTCTAAAGCATTGGAGGGGGGAGGAAGCTGAGAATGCTGTCAATTTCAAGCCCTGGATTTTCTGTTCATTTAGAGACAATGTCTAGACTATATGCATGCATCGTAACACATGACAAGTTTGAGAGAATGGGAAAGGTTGGTGTAGTTAAACAATTAATTGCACAACCAGGTTGAATACTTTTTTTCTACCCTGGTTTTTTTTCCACTTTAATTTTTTTAAAATGATTTGAAAACCTTTCCCTCACATTTTCATAATTTTTCTCAGAAAAGTTCCATGTTCATGTATGTTATATTCATGGTAAATGTTCTATGCAGAATGTTGAGTGTGGTATTTCATTTCAGGTTGACAGAGCCTTTGAGCACTTGTCAGCTACTCACCAGTTTGTGGAACGAGACATTTCCTTTGAGGTTTCAGTTAATGGAACTNAGAATGTTGAGTGTGGTATTTCATTTCAGGTTGACAGAGCCTTTGAGCACTTGTCAGCTACTCACCAGTTTGTGGAACGAGACATTTCCTTTGAGGTTTCAGTTAATGGAACTTCCAAAGGGATTCACATGAGAGGAGACAGAGGACAGTGTGAGAAGTCTCAAGAATTTTCTGTATCAGTTGAACCAATTTTCTTCAATGACAGTGAAGTTGGTACGTTCATCTAATTGATATTGAATGGTTTGAAACTCTAGTTCCAGGGCAGATATGATTTTGGAATAATTTGTTTTATATAGAGATGCAACGATATTTTATCGGTTCTCGGTATCGGCCGATATTACGTGAATCCGATATATCGGCCTAAAACGATATATGACCTGCCGATAACCGATATTGAAATTACACCTGAAGTATGCCAAATGCTAAGTACGTAAAGCGAATTATGAATATTCTCGCCTTTTTCCCATTAGACAACATTTCACTTGACTCGAACACACATTCATAGGACGTTCCTCATGCATGAGTGTCAAAGTCAAGTGAAAGCACGCTTCCCAAGCACGCTGGCGCTTTAACTAGGAAATATACACTTGACTTGGCTAGGTTCGAGCCCAGGCCACCCTGTCACGGGACATAAGCTCATTACGCAGTCACCCGGGAAAGAGACGAGCGTCATCTACTTAACTCGGCCTAATGCCACTACCATGGCCTACTCCGTACTTTCTGCGAAAATAGACATCGCTTATGTTAGCGCGAAGAACCCAGGCTTAGATGGGTCCCAAAACCTTGGTACAAAAAACACTAGACTATAGTCTGATTTCAACTCTTTCGTGCCCAGAGGTTCTATTTGGAACAACCGATTTTCAAGAAATTTTCCCTCTTTATATTCATGTTAGGACCGTGCCGATGGCCACATTTGGCTGGTAGACTGATGCCGCATTTTGAACTCGTACCCATTGACCGGTGTCGGAGCTGATGATGATTTATTCTCTATAGATTGCGAAAGTAACATGAAATCGCATACGAATTCAAATAGGCCTATTTGGAAGCCTTATGATACTAATCAATGAGTCTCCTGAAAACGATAGAGACCACTTTTAGACCTTTCCAGCCTGTCTGTCTGCGTCCGTCATGGTTACCTATTGCTGATATGAGGGCTTAACGGCACTACTCGCTAATGCACAGCATAAAAGGAGATGCAATTATTTCACGGTCTTTGGTTACCTATTGCTGATATGAGGGCTTAATGGCACTACTCGCTAATGCACAGCATAAAAGGAGATGCAATTATTTCACGGTCTTTACGGCTGTTTTCCTCCACCAGTTCCTACAATCGGGCTGAAATACAGTAAGTCCTCGATTTACATCATGGATGCGTTCCCGGAAAACACGACGTAAAACTAAATATTTTTTTCCCATGGACTAAATTATATACAGGAAGTCCTCGATTTACAACGTCATATCGGGATGACACAACAAATGTGGGGTATATGTTAGCGACGTTATATCGAAACGATGTAAATCGAGGACTCCTCGCATGATCTGATGGATACTTTTTTCTGAGAGAGGACGGCAGGGAAGGCTTTCAGCGAGACAGGCAACAAACCACGCTCACACTCACGTAGTTTTTTTTTTTCCATTTTGCCCTCTTTCAGGCTTCCGCATCAACAGCTTCCAACCTTACCGTAGCCATGGCGTCAATGGTGCAACACCAGAGGCGAATCTCTGTGGTTGTCAATACGTCGGTGCAGCCTTAATTTATCAAAAATATTAAATTCATAATTTATATTCGAATATTTATAATATAATACATTACATAAATGTATTTGTAGATAAAAACTTCTGTAATATAATAAATATGATAGAGGCGAATCTCTGTGGTTGTCAATACGTTGGTGCAGCCTTAATTTATCAAAAATATTAAATTCATAATTTATATTCGAATATTTATAATATAATGCATTACATAAATATATTTGTAGATAAAAACTTCTGTAATATAATAAATATGATTGATTGCCTTAGAAATTTTCCTGAAAAGCAGTTATGTTCGCATTTCATCTTCATTGAAAATTACCTGATGTATTAACAAATTGTCAGTCGTGTCTGTCTGGGTGTCCATTAGAGGTATGACGGAGGGAACTTTGACATTCTTTGAACTGAGTGCTACTTTGAAAAAAAAAAAAAAAAAGAATTGCTATTCTACCTTATTGCAAGTTTTAGGATGGAAAATAGGAAATAAAATGCCTGATGCAAATCCAATGTAACATTTAAAAAATCCACATTGAGGAGCCTGGCTTCAGCATGAAGAAAACATTTCTTTTCACTATTGGAGAAATTAAAACTTCTGTAATATAATAAATATGATTGATTGCCTTAGAAATTTTCCTGAAAAGCAGTCATGTTCGCATTTCATCTTCATTGAAAATTACCTGATGTATTAACAATTTGTCAGTCGTGTCTGTCTAGGTGTCCATTAGAGGTACAAAGGAGGGAACTTTGACATTCTTTGAACTGAGTGCTACTTTGAAGAAAAAAAAAAGAATTGCTATTCCACCTTATTGCAAGTTCTAGGATGGAACATAGGAAATAAAATGCCTGATGCAAATCCAATGTAACATTTAAAACATCCACATTGAGGAGCCTGGCTTCAGCATGAAGAAAACATTTCTTTTCACTATTGGAGAAATTTCAATAGCATGAGGTGCACCACTGGTGCACCTCAAGCTTTCCCCATTAGACCTGGTCCCAAATAAAACTTAAAAGTGGAAGGAATTAATGCCTGAGGGTGGATTACTGAACAGAGAACAATCTGATAATGCAGCTTTATTCTAGGGAAAACACATATTTCCTGGAAATATGTGTTTAGCAGCGTTATCAGATAGTTCACTGTTCAAAATCCACCCTGAATGTGGAAATATAAATGTATATATAGATATCGGTATCGGTTATCAGTATCGGTATCGGTTCTTTTCCAATATCAGAATTATCGGCATATCGGATATCGGCCAAAATTCAATATCGTTGCATCTCTAATAAATATGCTTGCAGGAGTGCAGTTATCTACTGTCTACTTGCTCATAGCTATATTACTTCCTTTTCCATAGTCCATGAGTGAATAACTGGAACACATTCAGTGTTCTTATGAGTTAAGAAGTCATTCCTGAACTGGAGTCTTCCTTGAGGTTTATGCAATTTGGACTGGCTCCCTCTTGTTCTGCTGCTGTCATCAAATTAGAGAACTTACCAAGTTCTAAGTTGTCAATGTCCTTTGTGATCTGTAATGCCTTGTTGAGGTTAACCTTGTTAACCTTTCAAGCAGATACAGTCCCACGTCACAATTTCCAACTACATTGAAAAGGAGGCAGAAAAACCTTCTTGGAGCCAATTTGCATTGCCAGATGGGATGGAATCCACATGAGATTGAAGAGTCTTCTGGTTCCTATCTTCAGTTCCTTTCACATAGACCGGTGTCCAAGCTGCATTGATGTCCAGGCCAACTAAAAAAAGAAATCAAAATGATCCGATTCACAGATTCACCTGAAGAAACATCATCAGTGCCAGACTCACCTGTGCTTTCACTGATGACATGGAACATGAGTTCATCTCCCTGAGAAGATCTCTTCACCTGGAGTCTTCGAGTGAGGGAACCACCCCCTTTGATCAGAGTCCAATCTCTTTAAATAGATCAATAAAATATAAAAATACATGACACATAATTTATTACTGTGACATAACAGAGTGCTGATGAAAGTACAGGACATATTTAATATAATAATAGCTAATATTTTGGAAAGTTCTTGGATGGAATGTCATTTTAATATTAGTGTATACCCATAGAATCACCAAGACAGAATTACAGTCAGTTTCACCTAAGCATCCCTGGTGGTGGACAAAGCTTTGCATAAGATTAGCTTCAGTGCACAGGCAAAGTAATTTTTTTTTTTTTTAAGAAGAACAGAGTAGCCAGGAACATGCATTTCTTTGCCTGTGACCACAAGAGTGTCATTTTGGAAACGCGTGGGACAAACGTGGTACGATGAGAGAGGAGGATGTTGTTGTCCTCATCCCCAACTAGGAGGATGGTGGAGTGGGAGAGTGGGAGGGTGTGGTGGGTCTCCAGGCCCACCCAATTGACCAGGTGGAGCAAAACCACCACTCGGGCAAGCTCTGTGCCGTACGGTTCCTCCTGGTTCACGTGAAGCTCATACTTGGGCATGTATGCTGCCGCTTCTCGTAGGTGGTTCCCGAATGGAGGCCCTCTGTTTACAATCTACCAGAAACCCAATACTGATGATTAATAAGAGTTTAATAATATATACATGAGCAGTGTATATCATTCCCACAGACAAAACACTTCCCAGGATGCCATTTCTGCTAGCAGTTGCTCTGACAAGCCAATCTGATTTCAAGTGTATCATAAAAACAATTATCACATAAATGCACTGAACGGTGAGTCAATCGTGCATCCACTGTAGCTACTTAACCATTTTCATGGGGTTGCAACCCTAACATTTTATGAGTGAATAACTAGGTTTGGAAATACTCTCTACAGATGGCAGTAGCATTCAGAATGACCTGCAGGGGTACCAACCCTGAACAAATTGCCATAGGATTCAAGATTTCATGACTTCAACTAAAACCTTCGAGCTAGGATGCTAAAAAGATTATGAAGGAACTGATTCCAAATGAAATCATGAAGCCAGGAAGGGTCAAGAAAAGTTATATGAAGCCAATCCCACCCTCCCTGGCACTGACACTCCACCAACTTATTTTGCATCTTGCATCCCATGAAGGGATGAATCCTCTCATGTTCCTTAATCTCGTGAAAACAAATTAATCTCTTGAGAGCTCATCTCAAACAGACCATTTCAAGATCTCGTGGTTCAGCCTCCTCAATCTTCAGGAAGGAGTCATAGGATGCATCGGCGAGGGAAGCGGCCAACGTGGGTCCCACGCGATCCAGCTGCCGAGCCACATGAGGCGAGTCCTCCCACAGCCGAGCCCGAAAGCATTTCGCGAGAGTCACCGCATTCAGCAGGATCTTGTATCGTCCCTCCTTCCACAAGTATTCACATAAACCTTGTAAAAGAAGAAGAATTCAGCACTGCTTAACAATTCCTTCCATATGCAGGGTTTTTCTCTCTCATTTTATCAAGAGAGTAGAAATGGTAAGAATTCATTAGCAGTAAAAAAAAAATACTCAGTCATTACAAATCCCTTCCCATACCTCTAAAGATGGTCTCTTGCTCTCAGTGAAGAGGAAATCAACTGTGTGAGCGCATGGCATGCATAACAACTGAACCCTGCACAATCTTCAAATAAATTATTTGCTAAGCTTCACAATAAACTATTCTGAATTTTGATGCTAATGCCTCAGACCTCACTGTAACACATGCTAGCAAGGACAATGAAGGCTGAGTTTTGGAAGTCTTCTGCATGGTTTTTATAAACTTTTATGAATATAAGCAAACCTGAAGAAAGGACACCAACAGCTGGAAAAAAAAATACCCCCAAAAATTGCAACATGGAGACCGGAGAGCCTACATCGTGCAATACGCTGCCCATTGCGCATCACCCGAATGGTATCTTGGTTCAAGGAGACATCTTGAATCGGAAGGCAGCCAAAGACAGCCTGGACCAATCTGGAAGAAATCCAATTCATCATCTCGCTCACACTTCATCAGAAGAAATATATCTCTAACATAGAGGCCATCAGACTTCATCCTGGACAACTAAAATAGATTTACATACATACTTTTGGAGCACACATGATGCCTGACATTGCCATCCTGGCAACAAACCATCAGAAAGTGTAGTTGATCATGAATGAGTCCATAATATAGCCAAAAACAAAGCCCAAGAGTTGCAGTCAAACCAGCTTTCAGATAGCAGCAAGAATAAGGAAAACAAAGTTTTCACATCCAAACTGAAACATCAACGGTGACATAAACAACACAAATTACTCATTGCCATGTCACAGTCAATTTTTAAATACTTTTTTCATAATCGCATTTTATCACCACACCATTATATTTTCATACATAGTATTCAAATTTTTTAAAATTATTTATTAACTATTACTTTCGTTAGCATAGTTTCCGAAAAACTAATATTTTCACATCCTGCCCCCCCCCCCAGAATCCTCATGAAAATTAACAAGGACCATTGAAACCGATTCCCCTCACATCTGTGACTTGGCCTGGGGGCTGGCTACCTTCCCCTGCAGGGGGAACCGGACCGTGGGCTGGTGCTTGTCCTTGTTGAGTGTGTTCAGGGTCCGCTTCTCGCTGACCCGCAGTGGAATCTCCTGCACCTCTGATGACCCACACACCACAGCCAACAGCTGTGACAGGTCTTCATCCCCAGTCATCTGTAATTAAGGCATTGCTTCTGTTTTCATTCAAAAATGCACACCCGCTCATTCTGTATAGTTACAATGCTGACTGTACTGCTTCTCCCAATTATAGGAATGCTAACGCCTATCACATTATTCCAACACTGTAACAGGCAATTGTAACAAACAATGCTCCAGACAGGTAAAATTACACTGCGAAACTTGTCCTAAAGAAGAAAATAAATTAAATCCAGGGCTTTGATAAACATGCCAGCCAGTAACAGCCAGCATATGCCAAAATCATGAAGTGATTTTTATTCACATTTTCACCAGAAAAACTCCTGATTCTAAACCCCTGATCTAATTTCATTGCATAATCCGAAAATTTAAAGCAGGAAATTACCAAACCGATTTTAAGAAGTGCAAACTGCACGGAACAGACCTGGGTGAAGCTCAGCATCGTGTCAAAGTTGATGTAGTACCGGGCCATGAGCCGACCGGTGTCGGTGGGCCGGAGCTCGGACGTGACCTCGTCTAGCAGCACCAATCCTGCACCTTCCAAGGCATTGATCTCCTTCATACACATGTCTAGTAAAAAAAAAAAAAAAAAAAAAAAAAAAAATTTGCGAGGAACATGGATGAATGACCACAAATTGATATGTGACATGAATATTATCCATATGTTATCCTTTAGCCAGTGGTAAGTGTCAACAATCGATCGGACCACTAATGAACGGCAGGGGCGAGTCGATTGCAGGTAATAAAGATATGGCAGGGATACTTAACGAGTTCTTCGCTTCCGTTTTCACTGTGGAATCCGACTTCGATTGCAGGTAATAAAGATATGGCAGGGCTACTTAACGAGTTATTCGCTTCCGTTTTCACTGTGGAATCCGACTCGGCACCGACTTTGGAGGAGCTGACTTCGGCGCACATTGAAGATATTTCCATCACCGAAGAGACGATCGGGAGAATGATAGGGAAGTTAAAAGTGGGCAAGGCGACCGGCCCCGACGGAATTCCTGCTCGAGTCATCAAGGAAACCGCAAGTGAAAAATCAGTTCCGCTATGAATCATATTTGAATATTTGAAAGCGGCTTCTTGCGCGGTGAAGAACCTAAGTAAGGACTGGAGGCTAGCGAAACGTCGTACCGATCTTTAAAAAGGGCGAAAAGAGTAACCCAGGGAATTATAGGCCGGTAAGTCTCACGAGTATCCCGGGGAAGATCATGGAAAGCATCATAAGGGACCACATTTAGGCTTTCCTCGAAGGAAACGCGCTCATCCGGGACTCCCAGCACGGCTTTAGAAGGCGCCGTAATTGTATCACCGACTTGCTCGAATTCTACGATCGGGCGACGGAAGAGAGGGATAAGGGGAATCTCGTAGACATCGTCTATTTAGATTTCACGAAAGCTTTCGATACCGTTCCTCAAAAGAGGTTGCGGGTTAAACTGAAGGCGCACGGGATCCAGGGTGGGACGAGCGAGTGGATCGGTAGCTGGCCTACACGAAGAGAGCAACGAGTAATGGTAAATGGGGAAGCGTCGACCGAAGTCGGTGTCGCAAGCGGGGTCCCTAAGGGCTCGGTTCAGGGACCACTTCTGTTTCTAGTCTGCATGAATCATTTGGATCTCGGGGTAGAGGGTATGATTAAGTAAATTTGCCGACGACACCAAAATACGTCGTTCGATTGCAAGCAGGAACTCCCGCGTTATTCTTCCGCTGTATGCGACACTGGTAAGACCCCAGTTGCAATATTGCATCCAGTTTTGGAGGCCTACAATTAAGGATGAATTGATGGCCCTCGAGGGGGTACAGAGGAGGGCCACAAGAATGATGACGGCGGTTAGGGGACTTCCGTACGAGAAGCGTTTAGAAGTGCTAGAACTGTACTCACTCGAGAGAAGGCTGTCTCATCCATCTCATCCAGGCTGTCAAGATAATTAAATGAATAGATAATGTCGAGTGTGGTACGAGTTCGAGTACGAGTCGTAAGTTCTACCAGTCCGATGGCAGCAAGAGAACGAGAGGTAATCAACTCAAGTTAGGTAAACCGGAAGGTGCGGCGCAGGTTAAGACAGGACATTTTTACTTTTAGAGTGATAAATGCGTGGAATGCGTTAGACGATGACGTAGTGGCTGCCCCTTTCCGTGACTATTTTAAAGAAGAAACTAGATGCTTTTATGGACAAGCAAGAAGGGGGGGGGGGCAATGCTGACATAAGGGACTAGGCAATAAGCAACTAGGATATGCTAAAAAAAAATCAGAAACTCACAAAAATGCAAACATATATGACTTAAGAGGAGTAGAACTATCATAAAATTAAGGAACGCTCGACCTCGACACGTGGTCTCCCAATGGGTATTATCGCTCTCTTGAGACCACTAAACAACCTTGAACCTTGAATCTTGAACCTTTGTGGAATTACAATAAGAACTTCTCGCAATCACTACAGCATCTGACATCCGATAACCCGAAACGCATGAGGCATAATACTGTCGCTTTCTTGCACCTCTACATCTCAAGGTCACTAGTGCAAACATTCACATCAATGCATGAGCCAAGGAAAAGGAAGAAACCAGATTGCAAAATCAAATAATCTCTCTTGGAAAGAATATATCTCCCATAGGATTGCAAGCAATACGGGGATCCACGAAAGCACGGTTTCATCCTCTCTCACCGAGGAAAAGAATGCAAGTTTCAGGGAAACGAACAAAAATTATCCATCGAATTGGCATTGTTTTAATTTTTTGAAGGGAATAGACAGACTCACTGCAGTACAACCGTGGAAAATCAAAAAACATTCAAAGCGAGCATACCTTGGAGTCTGTTGACCAGCGCCTTCTTATCCGTATTCGCCGGGATGCTGTAGAACCTCGGGTTCGCCAGGATCCGGACGTAGAGGAACGTGCTCTGGATCCACTGCACCGCCACGGCCAGGTCCGTGATCGTCCCCAGCACAATCTCCGCGTTCAGGTGCTCCCGCAGGTGGCGGTGCAGAGAGCTCTCGATCACCTGGTCCCCTCGCACCAGGTGCTCGTATTTCTCCTGCGGACCGTCATATATGAGAGAAATTTTATCAAAAGGAAATTTACCTCGTGAAGCGAACGCAAATGGCCTGGGGCTGAAGATAACTTTCCACTAAAATATATCCAATCTTGAGATAATACATGAGCCTGTAACATAGTAATCAGAGGAGAATATGGAGGGGAATGAAAAATTGTTGAGCATTTCTAGTCACTTCCCCGAAGAGAATTCCCAAACGAATCTCTTCCTTTCCACATACAATCCTGGAGTCATGTTATTGTCTCACTATTCAAGCCAAAAAAAATTCGAAGACTCTTTGTGACCATACGAAAAAAAAAAAGAACTTCACCTTTATTGCGATTTAGGCCTCCTCAACGAGTACCAATGAATACTTGAAGAATCAACTCCCACTTACCCGTTTGCAATACTAAGACCCACCACACCATCAATCCCCACAATTGAACTCGTCCGAGAATTTTCGGGAAACACATCCGTCTCCCACCCTTCCACGAGGGTCGCCTGGCAAACAATCCGCAGGTCACCCCCCCCCCCCCCCCCCCCCCCCCCCCCACCCCCCCCGCCCCCCCCCTCGAGGGGCGCCTGGCAAACAACCCCCCGGCCCCCCCCCCCCCCCCCCCCAATCCGAACCATCTCACCGGTGCCTCTGTCGTGCCTATCCTCTGTCAGTGGGGGGAGGAGGACACAGGCCGCGCAGCGACCCACGAGCAACTTTCCGCCCTCGCCTTTACCCCTCGAGTAACTTTCTCGCCTGGCCATTTAAATCTGAGAAATCACCGCTGGAGAACGGATGCGTAAAGCATAATCCGAGGTGACGCAACACCAGGACTGTCAATCGGTTCAAAAAATCGAAGAGCCATTTTATTGATTAATCTGATTCCAATCGAGCCCCTAGGGTGTTGAGAAAAACTCATGGTCCCTGCTTTCCACGTGCACCCCCAGGGCAAAGTAAGAAAAATGATACCGCAGATTAATTACAACAAAAAAAAATAACCGGAATCACCAGGATCTAACATTGACTGCACTTTGATTTAGTGCTTGGCAAGTCTTATCTGGTCCAACGACACACAGTTTCCCCCGGGGTTTCATCGTCCAACAGCTCCAATAAACGTCCATCAACGGTGACCGTGCACACTCCACTCGAATGCACGGAATCCCAGCCGACTTTCAAACGACCCCAGCCGATTTTCGAACGAACCCCGCCAACCGGCATCGGTGCACAGACCCCGTCAGGCCTCGCACCAGCACGAGTCGAACCACGCTCGCAAGGGAATTTAAAGGCGATTCAAGTCGCTTCAGAGAAAGAGGAGAGAAAAATACGGCGGACTCTCGTCAGCACGGAATCGCCTAATACGGACGGCCGGGTAACACGGACAAATTGCAGTCCCCCGTCCCGACTCCATAATAAATACCGCCGGTTAACACGGACTCGGTTAACAAGAACAGTCGGCTATCACGGCCCATTTTCCCAACACGCAGCTAAGAAAATCATTTGGCCGATTTAGCCGTAGCCGAGCAGGGCAGCCCAAGGAACAACGCTCCCCCTTGAGGATTAAAGGATTAACCCTTTTCACTCGTTCGTCGAGCTGGGCTCGCCATCGGCCGTAAACGTAAGCGGAAAAACTGAGTGGAACGGGTTATGTCGCCCGCTCTTTGGTATAGCCTGCACTTTAAAGACAAACTTGCCATCATCAACCAACTGCTGAAGAGCACCAAGCAAAGTGCGGCGTCCAAAGCACTTTGATACGGCGAAGTCGACGGTTAGCAATGTGTGGCAAAACCGCGAGAAGATTCTGGAGGAGTTTAATGCTGGAAAGACGCAGGGGAAAACGAAATGGGTTGAGAAATGCAGATCTGCAGAACTAAGAATAACTGATTGGACTGGCATTATGCAGTTCCTGTTACCGAAAGTCCACTGTAACCAGACGCAAGCGGCTAACGAAAAGTCATGTCGCAGCAGGAAAACTACACGACCTCCCCCTCCCCCCCTTCCCCTCCTCCCCCTTCCCCCCTTCCCCCCTTCCTCCACAACATATTCATACATGCTGCACGCCGCCTGGACGCCTGCGGAAAGCAGATGAGACTTTCCCTGTCGTGCTCACACCGCACTCGAGCTTATCCGATTCCTCGCACGTATTACGATCGTGCAGGACAGTAACAACCGCTAGGGCTTTCTATTTTGGCTCCTTGTTTCCTTTTTGCGTCATCTGGAGAGCATTGCCTTCTTTCGTGTACTTCCTTATTCGAAAGGAAGACCCCCTATTTATTTACAACCATCATTTCGTCAGATTCCGGTCACAAAAAAAACTATTTACGGCTCTTTGGAAAACCTGCCCTGTGCAGGAAAATTTATCATTTATAATATAAATTCTAAGATATATGAGGATCGATTGAAACTTGATTAATTTCGAATAAATTCTTCATCTAGATTAAAGCTTGGGCCGATTGTTCGATTAAAGTTAGTAGCCCAGCACCAATCCCAGTCCCTAATTATGATGAATCGCGAGTCCCAAATCGAAATCCGACAATCCCAACCGCGACAAACATTCAATGCCAATGCCAATGCCAATGCCAATGCCAAAGCCAATGCCAATGCCAATCCCAGCCTCATCGAACGGGAAATCCACATTTTCCACCTGATCGACAGAAAGGCGCAAGCATGGGAGGACGGGGATGGGGCATTTAAATAATACGGCATACAATAACATTTCACTTTAGATATACTGTATTACGTAAGCCTTTGTCATATGTCATGCCACATTATGCAAGTGAAGGCATCTGTTCCATCTGACTACCCGAGTAAGGGCCCGTGACATCTTGATATCCAGCCGCTAACGTGCTGTAATGGCAGATCGGCTGGTGAAGAAACCGTGTTGAGAAATCCCCAGAAGAGATTCAAAGAAATGTTCGACCGGAGTAATTGCATATTAATTCGTTATTTGCTCCAAGCATTCGAAAAGGCATTTGGGCCCATGCAAGTAAATGCGTTACACGCCGCTGCAAAAACGTGACTACCTTGACGCAAGACCTCGGACAACACGGAGACGTTCGCATGATTTACGGAGGAGAGCTGTCAGCTCGCTTCGTGCGAGCGCGGCCGTGAGGGGTTTGCCCGGGGTAAATACGGAAAGGAGGGATGCTGGAGGGGCAAATCATCATCATCATCGTCCCGATGGAAGAAGGATGAGAGATAACATTGGAATGATGGCGCTCGTGTGGACATCTCCGGCCTCGGGCAAGGTCACCACTTTCCTCTCACTCTCCCTCCCTCTCTATCTCTCTTTCCCTCCCTCTCTATCTCTCTTTCCCTCCCTCTCGTCTGACTTCCGTCTCCCAAGGATCCCTAATTAACGCCTCCTCCTCTATCTCTATTATGCTGTGCGAACTGCATGCGGAAGCGCTACGATCCCTTCCGCCATTTGAAAAATGGAGCAAACGAAACCAAGAGGGGAAAATTTTCGTTTTACGCCAGAATGAAGGCGAGTCCTTCTCCAAGGCTCCCCGAGTTTTAGTAACCCCTAAATATACGCTTCCTTTTCTCTCCCATACAAGGCGCAGAATACTGATGCATACCGGTTCGAAAACGACGCAGGCAAGGAATCGTGAATCCCCAGATGAATGGGAAAAAAAAAGATTGTAGATGCCTGCGCCAAGATGCACACCCATATTTGAATGTAGTGACAGGAAAAAAGTCAAACAAGCAAGGAAGAAGGAAAGCAGACCCCCCGGAGCCCTTCTGGGTGCGCCACTAGCTAATTAGAAACACAAAGCGCGAGGTAGCAATTTGCCTTTTCTCAGACGAGCGATTGCTTCACAGTCGATTTGACTCCCCAAAACCAGAATGTGTAAAAAGCCAATTCACGACGTGGAATGAATCCGTAAAAGGCGATCAAGGACTTTCACGAAGAGCTTCTACAATTAATTGAAGCATAAATAGCCTTCCCGATGGTTGGTCATGACCTCGCCCATGAATTCGAGAGTCAGGTCCTTTAATCTCATCAAGTTGTTTATAAACGAGTAAAGCTCGGAAATTCAGCTCAAAAGGATTAAAAAGAGTTGCAGAAGCTTGACTTCGTTAAGTATTAACTTCTTTAGCTGGAGCACCGAGGTCTCAAGGACTTCATCTTTCCATGCCCAGCAGACCCAGAAAAATAGCAAACACATTTGCCAATTGCACTACAGTCGGTTCAATACTTTTCCATGTTCCCTCTGAAAGCATGTGATTAAAAAGTGAACGTGATTTATGAGGTAAAAGTAGAATGGGCATAAATTCAACGGAAACGGAGTGACCTGTGGACCCCGTGAGTCACAGGGTCCACACGCGCGTCGGTGGCGAAAGACTCGGCATATTTCAGTCTGTGGGAAAAGGGCCTTTTGCGGCACGACTTCAGGTACTTGGAACCTTGCGCCATCCTCGATTGAGACCACTTGGGTTCCTGATGAATTCTAAGAAAAAGGGTTATGCAAACCCTCTTGGCCGGCATTACGATGGACAAACTAGATCGAATTTCCAATCCTGCTCCCAGGCTGACAGTCACGCGATCACCAGCATTGAATCATTTCCATCCACGGAAGGCATTGGCATTTGCTTCAAATTTTTTTGTCAAATGCTATCGAATTCTTTCGCATAACTCTTTTACAAAAAAAAAAAAAAATATATATATATATATAAATAGATCGGGTTACGACTCAGTGAGCGAAGCGTTTCGTGCGCGATACCGATGTTATTCGAGTGTACTTTTTTGGTGAACTGGAAAATATAATATGGAAAACGGAAACTGGAAAAAAAAAATATATATATATATATATTTTTTTTTAAATATATATAATCGTTCGAAAAGCAACCATGAAAATGACTGGAATGAACTTTTTAAATGCACTTTTATAGGATGAAATTTGAAAGACACGGCAGTTGCAAGCACGCAACGGAAAATCGCCACAGATGCTGCATACAGAGAGGGTTTTAGCAAGAAGCCAGCCTTGTTCATCCACTTTTTTGAGTG